CTCACACACTTCCTGGTGGTCTGTGATGCTGTGGAGGTGAGGGCGAGGAGTGGCACCTGCCAGGGCAGTATACATCTTAGCTCACCCGCTAGTTTACACCACCTCTGGAACGGAGCATCATTTTGGTGTTCCTTGCATCTGTTACAAAAAAGATTAAATCACAATGGTCAGATTAAAGTAATTGAGGTCACCAATGAAAGATGTACAACATACTAGACTGACTTAACAGCCATAACTAAAGACAGCCACAACTTGCTATTCCCAATGTGGGCATTATCATATTCATATTGCAGAGTCTACCTTTAATATAGCCAGGTATATCAAACATCCTCATCCAAAAATGTTAATAGTTTTCTTAGCTATCTAACTGATTCACCGTCGGACTACTGTGTAGACCCCGTCCACGACCATTCCAACCGCTGTCCATACAAAGGACTCTCCAGGATTGTCCACATGGCATAATCGTTGGACAAACTCTGGCGACCCAAACACAAAGGTGAATTCCCCATTGGCAACTATTCCATTCATCTCTGGGTGGCCGTGGCCAACGCATGCAGCAGTTATTTAAAAATGCTACTTGATCTTCCATTGTCAATTTCAAATGACAAACAACAAGATTGGATTCTTCGGCCATTTTTGTGGATAACTTTCCGCCAGCAAACTACATAGAGACATCCACGCTTGGTAGATCAAACTTGTGTTATGTGCCACTGGCTCCATATAAAAAATAATGAATATTTATTCTTATTTCTATGAATGGCTCCATCCATGTTTGTTTTGGTTGTGCGAAGAAGACACGTGTGATTCGAACAATCAGTGTGCACTCGCCCAAAGCTTGTGCCCGGTGGGGTCAGAATCATGCAATATAACTCATTCACCACCAGAGGTCCTCATTCACACATAAATAGTCAACGAGTACAGAGTGGGTATATGGAGAAGGGTTCTCAAACTGGTCCAGGATAACTACTTGTAACATTACCACAAAAACGTATTTTCAGACTGTCCTTTCCAGCATGGTTCCAGTAATATGGTGGGTGTGTAGACAAGCCAGCACAGTGCAGCTCAGCTTTGCTCAGTAGTGTGAACTGTGAAGAGGATATGTATGTGCAGGGTCTTCATTCCAGAATGACGACCATGATTATTGTTTGATGAGGTGTGTTAATGAAGCCTGCACATCCAGCTCTCCTGGACTACATCTGAAGAATCCTGGTGTTTTCAACCATGCTCAAACTACTTATGGCTATGGAAACTTTGAAAGAAAATAATTTATTGGATTGTGTGCATTGAAAATGTCTCCCGGTTATACTGTCTGTAAAGTGACATCAGGAAGGGTTGTCACTACTTACACTGAGTATACCAAACATTAGGACCATTCTTGATACACACAGGAAACTGTTGAGCGTGGAAAAACCCAGCAGCGTTGCAGTTCTTGACACAAACCGGTGCGCCTGACACCTACTTCCATACCCTGTTCAAAGGCACTTAAATCTTTTGTCTTTCACCCTCTGAATGGCACACAAACAATCCATGTTTCAATTGTCTCAAGGCTTAAAAATGATTGTTTAACCTGTCTCCTCCCCTTCATCTACACTGATTGAAGTGGATTCAACAAGGTACATCAATAAGGGATCATAGCTTTCCCCTGGATTCACCTGGTCAGTCTATGTCATGGAAAGAGCAGGTGTTCTTAATGTTTTGTACACTCAGTGTATATTGTGCTCTGCTGAAATGTTATTTAAATTTCACAGAGAGCCACTGCAGACACTTATTTTCATGTGATGCATATTTACTGTTCAAAGTTCAAGTTTATTTGGCCATTTGTAGGTATCGGAATACATACATAAGAATATGTTTTGTGAGAGTAAAATAATATACACAAGACAGTCAACGTAAAAATGTAGTACTCATAACAAACTAGAGAGCCATGACGAAATATATCTACACAAAGGACTGTCAAGTAAAGAGCTGTAGTTGTGAACATAGACCTACAGGGACACTCCTTGTTCTGTCCTGTTGCTTAGTACTGAAGACTCCATGGCTTCATCCCAAATGACACCCTATTCCCTATATAGTGCACTACTTTTGATCAGAGCCCTGTAGGTAATAGGGTACCATTTGGGACAGAGACAGCATAAGCAGGTAATAAGTACTACATTATTCATGAACCTTCCGTGGCCATCCTACTTAAGAATCAGCCAATAAGCAGGCCCTGTGCTGGTGAGATGTGATGAGCCTGGAGCTGATTGGCTGGCCGCTCACTCTGGTGAGGGCTTCCCATTGTGACATCACTCAGGATGAATTCTGAAACCTTAACCCTATGGAAATCCAACGGCCCTCAAAGCCATATATACAGACGGCCCCTATCCAGGGTTTAGGGTCAAGGGGGAAAAATAATGGCTTTCTAATCCTGTTTCAAGAGTCACTTTTACTGCCTGTGTATATGAGAGTAGCTTACAGTAGCTTCACTGTGTGTGTGTGTGTGTGTGTGTGTGTGTGTGTGTGTGTGTGGTCACCAAGCCTGGTCATTAAGTTCCCATACAGTTTTCACATGCTAAGACATTGATTGAGCTATCAGCTATGACCCCCAACATTGAACTGAGTCTGCAATAACCTGTTCAAGTGGACTTCAACTAGGATACTGAGTGGTGGTCCCTTAGACTTAGATAATAACAGGGGATCCCCATGAGGTTGGACTGACGGCTCACTTAAACACCCTTTGTCCCGTTGTTGGACATCGTGATGACTGTAAAGAGAAACCTTGATACCTTTGAGTCTCAAAGACAATAATCATTGAATAGTTAAACCTAAAATACAGTAGTTATTTAGTTAGTTAAACCACGACTACATCAACATTTAAAGAACATCATAACTTCAGTTCAAGACAAGAAGTCAATAAAAACTAACTTTGTTTTCTATTGTACATTTTTATTGTAAATTCCTTTTTTTTTATTACAAAATATATGAGAAATACATCATTGACTAAAGAAATCTAATGCTCAGATCAGATCTACACATTCACCATTAGAAATGTGGACAAACCAGCAGTCTGTGACTCACACAATCAATCAACCATGACTGTTTTCCCTTTCCCCACCGTTTCTGACCGTCCAAAGACATGGCTTTGAAACAGCCGTTTCTGACCGTCCAAAGACATGGCTTTGAAACAGCCGTTTCTGACCGTCCAAAGAGATGGGTTTGAAACAGCCGTTTCTGACCGTCCAAAGAGATGGGTTTGAAACAGCCGTTTCTGACCGTCCAAAGACATGGGTTTGAAACAGCCGTTTCTGAACCGTCCAAAGACATGGGTTTGAAACAGCCGTTTCTGAATCCGTCCAAAGACATGGGTTTGAAACAGCCGTTTCTGACCGTCCAAAGACATGGGTTTGAAACAGCCGTTTCTGAATCGTCCAAAGACATGGGTTTGAAACAGCCGTTTCTGACCGTCCAAAGACATGGGTTTGAAACAGCCGTTTCTGAATCTGTCCAAAGACATGGCTTTGAAACAGCCGTTTCTGACCATCCAAAGACATGGCTTTGAAACAGCCTGTTTCGCGGACCCGTCCATCCAAAGACATGGGTTTGAAACAGCCGTTTCTGACCATCCAAAGACATGGCTTTGAAACAGCCGTTTCTGACCGTCCAAAGACATGGGTTTGAAACAGCCGTTTCTGACCATCCAAAGACATGGCTTTGAAACAGCCGTTTCTGACCATCCAAAGACATGGGTTTGAAACAGCCGTTTCTGACCGTCCAAAGACATGGCTTTGAAACAGTACATAGTGCACATACTGTAGCTAGTTACACAGGAGGCGGCATCCATTTTAAAAGTGGCAGACATTTGAAGCCAAACCGGTTAGTTGTCTTTTGTGTAGTCAGTGCCACTTGTTCACACTGTTCTTTTCCACAGTAACACTGGTAAGTCTACCCACTCAAGCCAGCGTCATATCTTATTAGATAGCTTATTGTAGCACCTGTATCTGCATACATGCCTGTGTCTCTATAACCTTAAAAAAGTGCTAAATGTCTATTTTCTCCCTAGCATTGCACACCTTATACAACTCAAGTTCTTGTAAGAGAAATAGGCTAAAGCTTTGTTTTTAGGGAATTACTTTTTTAGGTTACGAAGACTGTATTTGGCAATTCAAACAATTTGCAAGTACATTAATCAAAAACGTTAAGGTATACTTTTTCAGAATGACAATCTCCAACTTTCGTTGAATGTCACTGTTTCTTTGAAGACAATCTAGAGTTAGAGTTCTGTTACGGTACAGAACTCTAGCCTGGGTGCCAATCTGTTACTGCTCTCTTGCCAACTCCGTATGGAATTGTCATGCTAAACATGTTTGGCTTGGCAATGACAATAGAGTGGACAAGAGGACAAACAGATCTGGGACCAGGCTAACAGAACTCTACCATTCTGTCACAGTTCTGCTGTGGCTAAACTCAACTCTTAGGTACTCAGTAAACAGCTTCGGCATCGAACCTTCAACCCAAGCACTATCAAAAACAAAGCCTGGTGCTAACGTGTACATGTCAGTGATTATTAAGTGCTCATAGTCAACTGCTTTAAAATAAAAAATAAAAGTTCATTCACAATACAAAAATACTCCAGAGAGAGAGAATCTGTCTGATTTCAGACGTTGTGTTTCAATTTCCTTTCCAGCACAATGAGGCATGATGATAAGTAGACTGATCTGGGAAAAGGACAGCACTTTGAATGACCACCTTGTGTTTTTTTAAACATGACGAAATAGTGTTAAATATGAAATATGTATCTGTGTTTCTGTCCAGACGTGATGCTCCTTGTTCTTGGCTGTGTTCTAAATGGCGTCCTATTCCCTTTGTAGTGCACTTCTTTTGACCAGAGCCCTATAATGAGAATAGGGTGCCAGTTGGGACTCAGTCCTCGGTTCTGTTGTGTTGTGCTGGTCCCAGGGAAGGTCTCTCTCTCCATTCTATACCCCAACAGCCAGAGAACCATTATGATCCATAACATCTCAAGATGCCTTCTTGGTACAGGTGCCTGGGGTTGTTTCTTGCAGGTTTACCTTGGACCTGTAGAAAATAATGAACAAACACGACAGAATAAACACGACAAGAATCTATCTATACATTTAAGCTATATAGAGTGGAGATCTGAGTAGCTTTTTTCTTCTTCAATTAAAACCATTTGTATCCCTACATTTCCACAAATATTCCACTGCTCGTCACACTATCCCTGAACACTCACCTGTTGTGGGTCATGTGACTCTTGACGAGGTGCCCGGCGGCGAGGGCAGCCATGAGGGACAGCTCTCCTGCCAGCACCGTGCCGCACACCACCCTGGCCAGCTGCCTGGCGTTCTCCCCAGGGCACTCCTGACTGGCACCTTGCACGCCCAGCATCTACAGCAACACAGTGGGAGTGGAATCACATGAAGACAATGAGGCCTGTTTAGGCTGCAGCAGATATATATATTTACTGTATGGACAGTGGTCTTCTGCAGCAGATATAGATATTTACTGTATGGGCAGTGATCTTCTGCAGCAGATATAGATATTTACTGTATGGGCAGTGATCTTCTGCAGCAGATATATATATTTACTGTATGGGCAGTGATCTTCTGCAGCAGATATAGATATTTACTGTATGGACAGTGAGCTTCTGCAGCAGATATATATATTTACTGTATGGACAGTGATCTTCTGCAGCAGATATATATATTTACTGTATGGAAGTGGTCTTCTGCAGCAGATATAGATATTTACTGTATGGACAGTGGTCTTCTGCAGCAGATATAGATATTTACTGTATGGGCAGTGGTCTTCTGCAGCAGATATATATATTTACTGTATGGACAGTGACCTTCTGCAGCAGATATAGATATTTACTGTATGGACAGTGATCTTCTGCAGCAGATATATATATTTACTGTATGGGCAGTGATCTTCTGCAGCAGATATAGATATTTACTGTATGGGCAGTGATCTTCTGCAGCAGATATATATATTTACTGTATGGGCAGTGATCTTCTGCAGCAGATATAGATATTTACTGTATGGACAGTGATCTTCTGCAGCAGATATATATATTTACTGTATGGACAGTGATCTTCTGCAGCAGATATATATATTTACTGTATGGAAGTGGTCTTCTGCAGCAGATATAGATATTTACTGTATGGACAGTGGTCTTCTGCAGCATATATAGATATTTACTGTATGGGCAGTGGTCTTCTGCAGCAGATATATATATTTACTGTATGGACAGTGACCTTCTGCAGCAGATATAGATATGTACTGTATGGACAGTGGTCTTCTGCAGCAGATATATATATTTACTGTATGGGCAGTGATCTTCTGCAGCAGATATAGATATTTACTGTATGGACAGTGACCTTCTGCAGCAGATATATATATTTACTGTATGGGCAGTGATCTTCTGCAGCAGATATAGATATTTACTGTATGGACAGTGACCTTCTGCAGCAGATATAGATATTTACTGTATGGGCAGTGATCTTCTGCAGCAGATATAGATATTTACTGTATGGACAGTGGTCTTCTGCAGCAGATATAGATATTTACTGTATGGACAGTGACCTTCTGCAGCAGATATAGATATTTACTGTATGGGCAGTGATCTTCTGCAGCAGATATAGATATTTACTGTATGGACAGTGGTCTTCTGCAGCAGACATAGATATTTACTGTATGGACAGTGATCTTCTGCAGCAGATATAGATATTTAGTGTATGGACAGTGGTCTTCTGCAGCAGATATATATATTTACTGTATGGACAGTGGTCTTCTGCAGCAGATATAGATATTTACTGTATGGACAGTGATCTTCTGCAGCAGATATATATATTTACTGTATGGGCAGTGATCTTCTGCAGCAGATATATATATTTACTGTATGGGCAGTGATCTTCTGCAGCAGATATATATATTTACTGTATGGACAGTGGTCTTCTGCAGCAGATATAGATATTTACTGTATGGACAGTGATCTTCTGCAGCAGATATAGATATTTAGTGTATGGACAGTGGTCTTCTGCAGCAGATATAGATATTTACTGTATGGACAGTGGTCTTCTGCAGCAGATATAGATATTTACTGTATGGACAGTGATCTTCTGCAGCAGATATATATATTTACTGTATGGGCAGTGATCTTCTGCAGCAGATATATATATTTACTGTATGGACAGCGATCTTCTGCAGCAGATACATATATTTACTGTATGGACAGTGATCTTCTGCAGCAGATATAGATATTTAGTGTATGGACAGTGACCTTCTGCAGCAGATATATATATTCACTGTATGGACAGTGATCTTCTGCAGCAGATATATATATTTACTGTATGGACAGTGATCTTCTGCAGCAGATATATATATTTACTGTATGGACAGCGATCTTCTGCAGCAGATACATATATTTACTGTATGGACAGTGATCTTCTGCAGCAGATATAGATATTTACTGTATGGACAGTGGTCTTCTGCAGCAGATATAGATATTTACTGTATGGGCAGTGGTCTTCTGCAGCAGATATATATATTTACTGTATGGACAGTGACCTTCTGCAGCAGATATAGATATTTACTGTATGGACAGTGATCTTCTGCAGCAGATATATATATTTACTGTATGGGCAGTGATCTTCTGCAGCAGATATAGATATTTACTGTATGGGCAGTGATCTTCTGCAGCAGATATATATATTTACTGTATGGGCAGTGATCTTCTGCAGCAGATATAGATATTTACTGTATGGACAGTGATCTTCTGCAGCAGATATATATATTTACTGTATGGACAGTGATCTTCTGCAGCAGATATATATATTTACTGTATGGAAGTGGTCTTCTGCAGCAGATATAGATATTTACTGTATGGACAGTGGTCTTCTGCAGCAGATATAGATATTTACTGTATGGGCAGTGGTCTTCTGCAGCAGATATATATATTTACTGTATGGACAGTGACCTTCTGCAGCAGATATAGATATGTACTGTATGGACAGTGGTCTTCTGCAGCAGATATATATATTTACTGTATGGGCAGTGATCTTCTGCAGCAGATATAGATATTTACTGTATGGACAGTGACCTTCTGCAGCAGATATATATATTTACTGTATGGGCAGTGATCTTCTGCAGCAGATATAGATATTTACTGTATGGACAGTGACCTTCTGCAGCAGATATAGATATTTACTGTATGGGCAGTGATCTTCTGCAGCAGATATAGATATTTACTGTATGGACAGTGGTCTTCTGCAGCAGATATAGATATTTACTGTATGGACAGTGACCTTCTGCAGCAGATATAGATATTTACTGTATGGGCAGTGATCTTCTGCAGCAGATATAGATATTTACTGTATGGACAGTGGTCTTCTGCAGCAGACATAGATATTTACTGTATGGACAGTGATCTTCTGCAGCAGATATAGATATTTAGTGTATGGACAGTGGTCTTCTGCAGCAGATATATATATTTACTGTATGGACAGTGGTCTTCTGCAGCAGATATAGATATTTACTGTATGGACAGTGATCTTCTGCAGCAGATATATATATTTACTGTATGGGCAGTGATCTTCTGCAGCAGATATATATATTTACTGTATGGGCAGTGATCTTCTGCAGCAGATATAGATATTTACTGTATGGACAGTGGTCTTCTGCAGCAGATATAGATATTTACTGTATGGACAGTGATCTTCTGCAGCAGATATAGATATTTAGTGTATGGACAGTGGTCTTCTGCAGCAGATATAGATATTTACTGTATGGACAGTGGTCTTCTGCAGCAGATATAGATATTTACTGTATGGACAGTGATCTTCTGCAGCAGATATATATATTTACTGTATGGGCAGTGATCTTCTGCAGCAGATATATATATTTACTGTATGGACAGCGATCTTCTGCAGCAGATACATATATTTACTGTATGGACAGTGATCTTCTGCAGCAGATATAGATATTTAGTGTATGGACAGTGACCTTCTGCAGCAGATATATATATTCACTGTATGGACAGTGATCTTCTGCAGCAGATATATATATTTACTGTATGGACAGTGATCTTCTGCAGCAGATATAGATATTTACTGTATGGACAGTGATCTTCTGCAGCAGATACATATATTTACTGTATGGACAGTGATCTTCTGCAGCAGATATAGATATTTAGTGTATGGACAGTGATATTCTGCAGCAGATATATATATTTACTGTATGGACAGTGATCTTCTGCAGCAGATATATATATTTACTGTATGGGCAGTGATATTCTGCAGCAGATATATATATTTACTGTATGGGCAGTGACCTTCTGCAGCAGATATATATATATTTACTGTATGGACAGTGATCTTCTGCAGCAGATATATATATTTACTGTATGGGCAGTGGTCTTCTGCAGCAGATATAGATATTTACTGTATGGACAGTGATCTTCTGCAGCAGATATAGATATTTACTGTATGGACAGTGACCTTCTGCAGCAGATATAGATATTTACTGTATGGACAGTGATCTTCTGCAGCAGATATATATATATTCACTGTATGGACAGTGATCTTCTGCAGCAGATATATATATTTACTGTATGGACAGTGATCTTCTGCAGCAGATATATATATTTACTGTATGGACAGTGATCTTCTGCAGCAGATATAGATATTTACTGTATGGACAGTGATCTTCTGCAGCAGATATATATATTTACTGTATGGACAGTGATCTTCTGCAGCAGATATATATATTTACTGTATGGACAGTGGTCTTCTGCAGCTGATATAGATATTTACTGTATGGACAGTGATCTTCTGCAGCAGATATAGATATTTACTGTATGGACAGTGACCTTCTGCAGCAGATATATATATTTACTGTATGGACAGTGGTCTTCTGCAGCTGATATAGATATTTACTGTATGGACAGTGATCTTCTGCAGCATATATAGATATTTACTGTATGGACAGTGACCTTCTGCAGCAGATATATACAGTGGGGAAAAAATGTATTTAGTCAGCCACCAATTGTGCAAGTTCTCCCACTTAAAAAGATGAGAGAGGCCTGTAATTTTCATCATAGGTACACGTCAACTATGACAGACAAATTGAGAAAAAAAAATCCAGAAAATCCCATTGTAGGATTTTTTATGAATTTATTTGCAAATTATGGTGGAAAATAAGTATTTGGTCACCTACAAACAAGCAAGATTTCTGGCTCTCACAGACCTGTAACTTCTTCTTTAAGAGGCTCCTCTGTCCTCCACTCGTTACCTGTATTAATGGCACCTGTTTGAACTTGTTATCAGTATAAAAGACACCTGTCCACAACCTCAAACAGTCACACTCCAAACTCCACAATGGCCAAGACCAAAGAGCTGTCAAAAGACACCAAAAACAAAATTGTAGACCTGCACCAGGCTGGGAAGACTGAATCTGCAATAGGTAAGCAGCTTTGTTTGAAGAAATCAACTGTGGGAGCAATTATTAGGAAATGGAAGACATACAAGACCACTGATAATCTCCCTCGATCTGGGGCTCCACGCAAGATCTCACCCCGTGGGGTCAAAATGATCACAAGAACGGTGAGCAAAAATCCCAGAACCACACGGGGGGACCTAGTGAAAGACCTGCAGAGAGCTGGGACCAAAGTAACAAAGCCTACCATCAGTAACACACTACGCCGCCAGGGACTCAAATCCTGCAGTGCGAGACGTGTCCCCCTGCTTAAGCCAGTACATGTCCAGGCCCGTCTGAAGTGCATTTGGATGATCCAGAAGAGGATTGGGAGAATGTCATATGGTCAGATGAAACCAAAATATAACTTTTTGGTAAAAACTCAACTCGTCATGTTTGGAGGACAAAGAATGCTGAGTTGCATCCAAAGAACACCATACCTACTGTGAAGCATGGGGTTGGAAACATCATGCTTTGGGGCTGTTTTTCTGCAAAGGGACCAGGACGACTGATCCGTGTAAAGGAAATAATTAATGGGGCCATATATCGTGAGATTTTGAGTGAAACCCTCCTTCCATCAGCAAGGGCATTGAAGATGAAACGTGGCTGGGTCTTTCAGCATGACAATGATCCCAAACACACCGCCCGGGCAACGAAGGAGTGGCTTCGTAAGAAGCATTTCAAGGTCCTGGAGTGGCCGAGCCAGTCTCCAGATCTCAACCCCATAGAAAATCTTTGGAGGGAGTTGAAAGTCTGTGTTGCCCAGCGACAGCCCCAAAACATCACTGCTCTAGAGGAGATCTGCATGGAGGAATGGGCCAAAATACCAGCAACAGTGTGTGAACACCTTGTGAAGACTTACAGAAAACGTTTGACCTGTGTCATTGCCAACAAAGGGTATATAACAACGTATTGAGAAACTTTTGTTATTGACCAAATACTTATTTTCCACCATCATATGCCAATAAATTCATTAAAAATCCTACAATGGGATTTTCTGGATTTTTTTTTCTAATTTTGTCTGTCATAGTTGACGTGTACCTATGATTAAAATTACAGGCCTCTCTCATCTTTTTAAGTGGGAGAACTTGCACAATTGGTGGCTGACTAAATACTTTTTTTCCCCACTGTATATTTACTGTATGTGTGTATTTATGTAGAGCTTTTAATGTTTCGCTTATACGTTTCACACATTATTAATAGATAACTGTATGTCTGCTATGAGGTTATTTTACGGAATGAAACGCACTCTAATGTACACAATACATTGATATTCCAGTCTATATAACATTGTATTCTAATCTAGATACTGTTTACCATGACTGATGTGTGTGTGTGTGTGTGTGTGTGTGTTCCTACCTGCAGACAGGCTTGCTGTGGTGCCAGGATGGTTCCTCCTCCTACGGTCCCTAGTTCTATGGAGGGCATGGTACAGCTGATGTAGAGGTCTTCTCCTGTAGGACCCGACGCCTCCATCAGAGTGATGCAGTTACTGCTGCCCACCGTCTGGGCTGGGTCCTGGCAGACACAGGTGGACTCGGTTAGTGCCCAACACAAAGTTTGTTCCATTATGGGCTGGTTTCCCGGACCCAGATTACTCATATTCCTGGACTTAAAAAGCTTTTATAGGGCTGTTATTCCGGACACAGATTAAGCCTAGTCCTGGCACATTAAACATAGCTTTTTAGTTCAGGACTATAAAGCAATGTTTACATTTACATTTAAGTCATTTAGCAGACGCTCTTATCCAGAGTGACTTACAAATTCAATATCTCCATGTACAGTACACTATGTATCAAAATAAAATGTACAATTCTTCCCACTCTAAACATTTATCCAATGAAACTATATCCCCTTTGAAAAGACCAATCCAGTGCTCCCTCACCTGTCCACAGGCGATGTAGATGGCTGCCACTAGGTTGGCTGCGTGTGCGTTGTAGCCGCCGATACTTCCAGCCATGGCTGATCCTACCAGGTTCTTGTTAATGTTGACATCTACCAGGGCTTCAGTGCTGGTCTTCAACACCTGGTAGAATAGACAGGGGAAATACACTCAAGACATGAATACACAAAGCATCGGACATAGAAACATGGTGCGTAGATCGCCTCGGACATAGAAACATGGTGCTTAGATCGCCTCGGACATAGAAACATGGTGCTTAGATCGCCTCGGACATAGAAACATGGTGCGTAGATCGCCTCGGACATAGAAACATGGTGCTTAGATCGCCTCGGACATAGAAACATGGTGCTTAGATCGGCTCGGACATAGAAACATGGTGCATAGATCGGCTCGGACATAGAAACATGGTGCTTAGATCGCCTCGGACATAGAAACATGGTGCTTAGATCGGCTCGGACATAGAAACATGGTGCATAGATCAGCTAAGACATGGGTCAAATACTTGAGCTTTGCTTGATGTAGTTTGACTGGTTCAATAGAACCAATGGAATTGTCAAAAAAGTGCAAACTCTTAGCCAAATTAAGCACACCTCAAATATGACATATGTACTTGACCTAGTTCTGGAATGACTATCAATATTACATTTTGAATAAAAAAATATGAAAATAAAGATGCCAGTAACCGAAAGGTCGCTGGTTCTAATCTCCGAGCCGACTAGTTGAAAAAAAATCTGTCTGTGCCCTTGAGCAAGGCACTTAACCCTAATTGCTCCTGTAAGTCGCTCTGGATAAGAGTGTGTGCTAAATGACTAAAATGTAAATGTAAATACAAGATAGAACTGTATGAACTGTGGTGTACCTCTTTGACCACTTTAGCTGGGATGGTGGCCTCGCACACAGCAGACTTGCCCCGGCCCTCGATCCAGTTGATGGCTGCAGGCTTCTTGTCGGTGCAGTAGTTCCCACTGACAGCCAGAACCACCAGCTCAGGATACTGCTCCTGTAACCTGGCCAGAGCCTGCTCTGTTCCCTGAGGAGGTGGAGACACAATGCTGGTTACACACATATACAGAACAACACACACAGGACATATACAGAACAACACATACAGGACATATACAGAACAACACATACAGGACATATACAGAACAACACATACAGGACATATACAGAACAACATACAGGACATACAGAACAACACATACAGGACATATACAGAACAACACATACAGGACATATACAGAACAACACATACAGGACATATACAGAACAACACATACAGGACATATACAGAACAACACATACAGGACATATACAGAACAACACATACAGGACATATACAGAACAACACATACAGGACATATACAGAACAACACACACAGGACATATACAGAACAACACATACAGGACATATACAGAACAACACATACAGGACATATACAGAACAACACATACAGGACATATACAGAACAACACATACAGGACATATACAGAACAACACATACAGGACATATACAGAACAACACATACAGGACATATACAGAACAACACATACAGGACATATACAGAACAACACATACTGGACATATACAGAACAACACATACAGGACATATACAGAACAACACATACAGGACATATACAGAACAACACATACAGGACATATACAGAACAACACATACAGGACATATACAGAACAACACATACAGGACATATACAGAACAACACATACAGGACATATACAGAACAACACATACAGGACATATACAGAACAACACACACAGGACATATACAGAACAACACATACAGGGAGACAATAACCAGCTAATTAACATGACACATGATAATCACACACACATTAAATGTCTAACACACACACACACGTATGCACGCACACACACCTTAGAGATCATGTTCATTCCCATGGCGTCTCCTGTTCTGGACTGGAAGCGGATGTAAAGGTTTCTACCAGCGAGACCGATCATGAGCTTCTGCAGACGAGCAAACCTGGAAACACAACCAAAAGACAAGAGGCCATCAGTCTTCTCTCTTCACATCTGCTTTCAAATGTTGACCATAGAAATAGAATATATAGAGTGGAACGATTTATTTTACATTTAAGTCATTTAGCAGACGCTCTTATCCAGAGCGACTTACAGTTAGTGAATACATTTATATATATATATTATTTTTTTTTCAAACTGGTCCCCCGTGGGAATCGAACCCACAACCCTGGCGTTGCAAACACCATGCTCTATCAACTGAGCTACATCCCTGCCGGCCATTCCCTCCCCTACCCTGGACAACGCTAGGCCAATTGTGCGCCGCCCATGAGTCTCCCAGTCGCGGCCGGCTGCGACAGAGCCTGGATTTGAACCAGGATCTCTAGTGGCACAGCTAGCACTGCGATGCAGTGCCTTAGACCACTGCGCCACTCAGGAGACTATTATAAAAGCCCATTCTATTTCTTTATAACAGACTCCACCCACATTCTATTTCTTTATAACAGACTCCACCCACATTCTATTTCTATACTATTTCTATAACTGAGACTATAACTGAGACACTCCTCCTCAATATCCCCTAAATCTAAAGTATTTCTATTCCAGACAGTTTGACCTCTGACCTGCTGGTGTGGTCGAAGGCGTCCTTGATGGCCTGGAATCCGTCGGTGCTCTCCAGCCAGCCCTTGACCTCTGCAGCCAAGCAGGCCGACGGGCACCTAATCACAGGACCCCTGGTCATCCCGTCCGCCAGGATACGACTGCTTGCACCGCCACCCAACTGGGGGATGGGGAGAGGAGAGGGGGCAAAGGTTAAGGAAAGGTCAGGGTGGTCATAGACTGGATACAGCTACTTCACTGGATTATTTGTAGTAGTACTGTTTAATATATACTTCCATATGTAGTTACTGGTATACAGTACAGTAATTCTATCTTGGACAGCCATTGTCTAGTGCAGTATGCAACACTGTATCTGTAACTCACGGCGATAGCGCGACAGCCCCGGTTGGTGCTGGCCACCAGGCAGCCTTCTGTGGTCGCCATGGGGACCTGGAAACTGCTTCCCGTCGAGGTGAAGAGGCCCAGCCACACCTACTGGAACGGGCATGTATCCAATCACATTCTCACAGCAGGTCCCCATCACCTGGCAACCAAAACATCAACAAAGATTGGTTTCAGTTTCCATCAACGTTACATCCTGTACTGTTTGTGTAAATAAAAACAAAGAACTGAATTACTGTTTTGTGCATCAAGCATTGATGTTTTAATGCCCTTTGGGTGTACATACTGTATCAATCACACATCAACTTCAGCCAGAAGCCTAGAAAGCCTCACCTTAGAGTAGTCGTAGTCCAGGTAGGGCAGAGTGGAGAGAGCGGAGGTGTTGGGGAGCTTGGAGGAGATCATGTGTCTACGGATGGCTACCCCTCTCTCTGGTCTCTCCATCATGGCCTCCAGCTTGTAGGAAGGGATGTGTTTAGAGTTCACCAGAACCACCACCTCATCATCAGTCAGGAATCGGGCTCCCATCTGTGGAGGACACACAGAGACTTTGTTAACTCAAATACAAACACACACACATGCATGTATAAAGCACTTTTCACTCAGTCTCGAGCATTATGCAATGCAATGGATCTTGGTGATAAGAAATGTATGTAATAACATTGAAATATCCAATAGGTCACCTGATCTACCTGTGACCTATCGTCTGACGGTCACCTTATCTACCTGTGACCTATCGTCTGCCGGTCACCTTATCTACCTGTGACCTATCGTCTGACGGTCACCTGATCTACCTGTGACCTATCGTCTGACGGTCACCTGATCTACCTGTGACCTATCGTCTGACGGTCACCTGATCTACCTGTGACCTATCGTCTGACGCCACCTGATCTACCTGTGACCTATCGTCTGACGGTCACCTGATCTACCTGTGACCTATCGTCTGACGGTCACCTGATCTACCTGTGACCCATCGTCTGACGGTCACCTGATCTACCTGTGACCTATCGTCTGACGGTCACCTGATCTACCTGTGACCTATCGTCTGACGGTCACCTGATCTACCTGTGACCTATCGTCTGACGGTCACCTGATCTACCTGTGACCTATCGTCTGACGGTCACCTGATCTACCTTTGATAGATGTGGTAAAGAGGTCTATGGAACTCGAACAAAACAATGGAAATGCATTGGAAACACGTGGGAGAAAGATGCCGTGAGTGAAGATCCCGAATCTCCTCATCGCCCCCCACAACTTTAAATAGGACAGGCTCATTGTAATGGCTGGAAAGAAGCCTGGCCTCCGTGTTCTCTCTCCACCAGCCTCCACTGGGTCAGAGGTAGATCAGGTGACTATCAGACGATGGAGTCACTGAAGGTACGTCCTCTATTACTGTCCTGCTCTAATGGGTTCAGCATAAGAGAGTAAAGTGAGTTAAGCTCGTTAGGGATATAGTTAAACCCATAGACTGTAGAAACGGGTTACCGCACAGAGACCCAATACTCCTACAGATGGACACCATAGAAACTGTCGTTGGATTGTCATTGTGAAACAGGGTTGAGGGTCAGTTCTATTTCAATGCATTACACTTCAAGACTGTTGGAAAATCATTCCAGGTGAAGCTGGTTGAGAGAACGCCAAGAGTGTGCAAAGCTGTCATTAAGGCAAAGGGTGGCAACTTGAGGAATCTCAAATATAAAATATATTTTGATTTGTTTAACACTTTTTTGGTTACTGCATGATTCCATGTGTGTTATTTCATAGTTTTGATGTCTTCACTATTATTCTACAATGTAATATTTATGTGAGCGTGCATGTGGACCATAGCTATGTAAGTACACATCACACCATACCTCAGGGTTTTTTAGGATGGCCAGGCACTCCTCCAGTGGTCTGGGGTCTGAGGATCGGCTGGGCTGAGCGGGCTGAGAGGGGTCTGCTCTGGGGGTCTCCACCTGGCTCTCCCTCTCCTCCTCCACAGAGCCCAGACGGAAGACCCTCTTGGTGGGCTGGGGTTCGGTGGTCGGGGCAGGCAGCGGCCGGATCACCTCGGCTAGGGAGGGGAGGAGGAGGGAGAGGAGGGAGAGAGGGGAGGAGGGGGAAAGAGGGACGGAAAGGAACGATAATTAAGTTAACCAATGGGTTCAGAGCAAAGCCCTAAAAGAGTTGAACCGTGTTTAAATCTATTCTACATTTAAGTCATTTAGCAGACGCTCTTATCCAGAGCCACTTACAGTTAGTGAGTGCATACATTCTTTTTTTATACTGGCCCCCTGTGGGAATCAAACCCACAACCCTGGCGTTGCAAACGCCATGCTCTACCAACTGAGCTACATCCCTGCCGGCCATTCCCTCCCCTACCCTAATTGTGCGCCGCCCCATGGGTCTCCCGGTCACGGCCGGCTACGACAGAGCCTGGATTCGGACCAGGATCTCTAATGGCACAGCTAGCACTGCGATGCAGTGCCTTAGACCACTGCGTCACTCGGGAGAGAGTGGTAATTCTAGAGCTAGACAGCGCTGTAAGGAATGTATTGATCGATACATTGGACAATAGATGCAGTAAAGACGTCAATGGAACTCGACCAAAACAATGGAAATGCATTGGAAACGGCTAGGGGAAAGATCCCGTGGGGGAAAGATCCCGAATCTCCTCACTGCCCCCCAGCAAAATTAGCCAAGATTTAGGATATTGTATATATGTGTATTTCACACTATGATGAGGTAAAAATCTGAGTATAATGCTTATAAAGATGTCAACCCCAATATATGTTCATGTCATCGTCACCAATCAACTGCATTACAGTTAAAAATGACTGACTTCCACCACCGATTTATGTATGCTAGCTATGCTACCAGCTTATATGAACGTATTTCTCATCAATGCATTTCTCACAGTCCTTTCCAAACCACCATAACACCACTCTACAACACGTCTTGTTCCTCCCTGCCGTACCTCTCTCCTCCTTGGTGGCCTCAGCCAGGGCGGGGGGTGTGGTGGTGGGGGTGGTGGGCCTGAGGGGGGACTTGGGGGGGCAGGGGGCAACCTCCTTCCTGCAGCACTGGTCTGTGCCCCAGCGGGGGGCACGGTCAGGCCCCTGGGACAGGGACATGGGGCTCTTCAGAGACAGGGTGGACTCCAGCTCTACTTGCTCGAAGAAGATGTACTTGACGGCCAGCAGCAGGGCCAGGCCCAGACAGATCACCTGTTCTATATCCATGCTGACCAACCTGGGGACAGAACAGATGGAGGGAGAACAAGAGAACAATGGATTAAATAACAGAAGAGAAGACGGACTGTACTTCAAATAAAATGTCACATACATTTACGTTTCACTATTGAAACTGATTGGTCAAGTTACAGTCCAGGGTTGGGATCAATTCCATTTAAATTCAGTCAGTTCCAGAAGTGAATTAAAATTCCAGGTAGAACTCACCTTGACATGTAGAACTGCCAGAGGGGTCTCTCGGGGTCGATCCTCTTGGGTACATGGTCGTCCAGGGACATGGAGCCCACCTGGGGGACGTCCAGGTTGGAGTTGAGGGAGAGAGGGTCGGCAATCCAACGGCTGTGGGCGTGCACCATTACCAGGCCCAGAGACTACAGAGCAAACAGAGAGACATTAACAGGCCCAGAGACTACAGAGCAAACAGAGAGACATTAACAGGCCCAGAGACTACAGAGCAAACAGAGAGACATTAACAGCAACGCTAACAACACACCACACACACACACACACACACCACACCACACACACACACACACACACCACCACACACACACACACATACACACCACACACATACACACACATACACACACCACACACACCACACACACACCACACACCACACACACACACACACACACACACACACACACACACACACACACCACACACACACACACACACACCACACACCACACACCACACAGCAGTGTAGTCTTACCATGATCATCTTGACTCTCTGGCTGACAGGGTTGGGTTTGTTATCCTCCTCTTCCTCCATCACGCGGGAGAAGTGGCTCAGCTGCCAGATGGGGTGACCCTCCTGACTGTCCCTGGACAGCTGAAGAGAGGCCACACAACCAAGTCAGGATATACACACACTCAACCTGTCATAGACGCTGTGTCTGTCTCATAATGTTGCTTAAAGTCATTTAGTGTCTGTCTCATAATGTTGCTTAATGTCAATTAGTGTCTGTCTCATAATGTTGCTTAAAGTCATTTAGTGTCTGTCTCGTAATGTTGCTTAAAGTCATTTAGTGTCTGTCTCATAATGTTGCTTAAAGTCATTTAGTGTCTGTCTCATAATGTTGCTTAAAGTCATTTAGTGTCTGTCTCATAATGTTGCTTAAAGTCATTTAGTGTCTGTCTCATAATGTTGCTTAAAGGCATTTAGTGTCTGTCTCATAATGTTGCTTAAAGTCATTTAGTGTCTGTCTCATAATGTTGCTTAAAGGCATTTAGTGTCTGTCTCATAATGTTGCTTAAAGGCATTTAGTGTAGATTTCCACTCATGCTATGGCTCTCCTTTCCTTCCACATCTACAGCTCTCACTTTACACCTATTTCATTTGACATTTGTGTGTGTGTGTGTCTGTGTGTATCTGTATGGTGTGTGTGTGTGTGTGTGTGTGTGTGTGTCTGTGTGTGTGTGTGTGTGTGTGTGTGTGTGTGTGTGTGTGTGTGTGTGTGTGTGGTGTGTGTGTGCGTGTGCGTGTTAACCCTTACCTCTAGGACCAGGGAGACGCAGGCAGGGAAGAATGTCATGAAGACAAAGTAGTTGGCCAGGACAGACATGCAGCCAAAACAACACATGATCTCCAGCTGACGCACACCTGGAAGATCAATCAATCAGTTCATCAATCAATCAAACCTGGAAAATCAATCAATCAGTTCATCAATCAATCAAGCCTGGAAGATCCAGTAATACTGCGTCCAAAATGATATTATATTCTCTGTGGAGCCAGCTCTGGTCAAAAGTAGTGCACTATATATGAATAGGGTGCTCCATGCTCCCCTCCATACCTGACATGGTGCCCACCCCGATCACCAGGCATTCCACTAGGGCATCCAGAGTGAACGTGGGCCCCAGGACGGCCATGCCACGGGCGATGTTGTCGCGCACCTCGTCCTGTTACACAGGTAATCAACCAATCAATCAACCAATCAATCAATAAATCAATCAATCAATTAATTAATTAATCACATGTATTTATGAAACCCTTTAAGCCTTTTCAACATGGGTCAACTACTACAGTATGTCGCTATCACAGAAATATGTTATAATTAAGCAATAAGGCCCGAGGGGGTGTGGTATATGGCCAATCTACCACGGCTAAGGGCTGTTCTTAAACACGACGTAACGCGGAGTGCCTGGATACAGCCCTTAGCCGTGGTATATTGGCCATATACCACAAACCCCCGAGGTGCCTTATTGCTATTATAAACTGGCTACCAATGTAATTAGAGCATTAAAAATAAATGTTTTGTCATACCCGTGGTATACCACGGCTGTCAGCCAATCAGCATAGAGAGTTCGAACCACCCAGTTTATAATAGCATATACCAGCTGTATAATAACCAAATAAGGTATTGTATATTACTACTGACGTGTTTCCACAGGAGTAGGAGGTGAAATGTACCTGTGAGTTTGAACTGAGTGCGTACTTGGCGAGAGCGCATGCTTTGGAGAGGTCGATGAGGAGCAGGAAGAACGGTAAGGCCTCACTGGAGAACAACATGGAGGACTGTGTGTCAGAGTAGCACTGAACGGAGCGCAACATTCTCTCCTCTATAGTAATTACACAAATGGTTAAATTACCTCCATTACAAATCTTGGTGATATTAGGCCGACTAATCTCAACACTAAAGAGGAAAATTGAGGCTCAGAGTTTATTAATATATCCTATCAAATGCTTTTATCCAAAGCATACATTCACTGAAAAAAATATATAGCCTACTGTGACTGTGTCTAACTGTGTCTAAACCTGGAGCAATGTGTGGATGCTTGGGAACATTCAACATACGACATCAATATTGACAGAAACGTTGTGTGTTGCACTGTACTGTGGGTTTACTTACTTGAGGCCAGTGAGTTCTTTATCCAGGAAGTGAATCACGACAGTGCTGAATACGAAGCTGGAGAATATGGTGAACAGTCCAGCGATACCTAAAAACAAAGTTGATATTGTGAGAATTGCAACTTGCTAGATTGAATTTACAGTATATATTTAAGCAATAAGGCCCGAGGGGGTGTGTTATACTCTGCCTGGATACGCGCCTTAGCCTGGATATATTGGCCATATACCACAAACCCCAGAGGTGCCTTATTGCTATTATAAACTGGTTAATTAGAACAGTAAACAAGTCGTTTTGCGTCATACCTGTGGTATAGTGTCTCATATACCATGGCTTTCAGCCAATCAGCATCCAGGGCTTGGACGACCCGTTTATAATACAGTATATTTAACTGAATATTGCTTAACCCTGAATGACAACGATTGCCTAGACTATATTTTGATATTGTAATATATTTCACTTTAGATTAACACGCTACTTTTACTTTACACTGTCACATGAGTGTAAGGTTTACAGTACATAGTATTTACAGTATAAAAAAATGCTGACCTAGAATATATTTTATGTCACTTGCAAGATTCATTTGACTGTGTATTTTACAGTATATTTACAGGATAATTACAGTAAATGCTCACCTAGAATATATTTGGATCCTAGTTGCCGTAGATTCTGGAACTGGAAGTAGATGTACACGATGGCTATGCACCGTGTGATGGTCAGAATGATGATGTCACTGCTTAGAACCAGCTGGAAGGGAGGCAGAGACAACACAATCACTGAAGTAAGTCAATCATAAAAGTCATTTAAAAAAATCACTGAGGAAACAATGATGATTAACTCAATGAACTAAAACGACTATGAACAGAAAGTATGCCTAACTACTGTGTGTCATGAAATAGACAAGTTGATAGACAAAATGCACTTTAAATACAATTGATTTGTATTGTGAACAAGCTACCTTTTGTTAGGTGTCCTACTTGTACTCAATGAAGAATACAGTGTGTATGTACCCTCCAAACCATATATGGTACCAGGTGAAAGTGTACACTACAGTATAGGCCCCTAAACTAGGTTGCTAGAAGCCCCTATAGGTCTTACATTACACTGGAAAGCTCTAGTCTAAGAATGTCCCGATACGATACGGTGCAGAGAAGACAAAGGCCTTCACTCCTCCTCTTCCCTCCGGCCCCAATCGACCAACTCCTCTTTTCCTCAGTCCCTCCCCCCTTTTTCCCCTCTATGCCTCAAACCCCTCCCTTTTCCCTTTTTAATCCAACCTTCCTAACCCTATACCGCCATTCTTACATAAGTCTATGGCTCTATGGGGCGGGTAGGTAGCCTAGCGGTTAAGAGCGTTCGGCCAGTAACCGAAAGGTTGCTGGTTCGAATGCCTGAGCTGGCAAGGTGAAAAAATCTGCCGTTCTGCCCTTGAGCAAGGCAATTAACCCTGAACAACAACTGCTCCCCGGGCGCCGATGATGTCGATTAAGGCAGACCCCCGCACCTTCTCTGATTCAGAGGAGTTGGGTTAAATGCCGAAGACACATTTCGGTTGAATACATTTGGTTGTGCAACTGACTAGGTATCCCCTCCAGCTCCCCCGCACAGTATTATCCATCTATCCAGGTTCCGTACCTCCTCCATTTTGGGGCAGTCGTAGTTCCAGCCGCAGATCTGGTCGTTGCCGGTGAACATGTTCATGGACATCATGCAGATGGTGAGGGTGACGGTGCCTACGATCACCTCCCAGGGGTGGGAGGCCACCAGCATGCCGTGCATACGGAACAGACCAGTCAGCATGGTGGAGCTGGGGTTGGGGACGGTGAATGTGCTTTAGAAAAATACAAAAAGAAAGGAAACACTGAAAGTCCCACTCCAACTCTGACAGAGGCAACAGAGAGTGGATCCTAGAAGAGAAGAGCAGTATTGTGGCAACCTGCGTACGAGATCAGAATACTATCAGTTCTAATGTTTAGTGTTGAAATGAGTAAAGTCACTGAGAGGATAGAAACACCAACAGCTAGGTTGACAAATGACCAGAAAAATAGCTTGTATTATTTGTCATTTTGGACTGCAGTGTCCCTTCAACTTTATAGCGTAGTCATCTATTAGTTAAAACTGATGTGCTCTTTTATCTTTTTACTGTGGTGACGATGACAAAGTCAACAGAGGAGGAAAACTTCCTGGAAGGTAGAGAGTACAGTCACCCATACAGAAACACTGACTCCAACCAGGGTGGAGACCAGACCGAGCCCATTTGTCAAAATCACACAACTGTGCTACTTCCCAAGCTCATGAACAAGCAATTTAGTCCGAGATAGTTTCAGAGTCAGACACGTGGTTACACTACATACGTGAGTCAAATACAGTAGCCTATATTAGCAAATTATTATTAGCCTTTATTGGCCATAGAACAATATACTGTATCTGATGTAGGATCTCAAAACACACACACTGACTGGACAGATTGGACATTTGTTCACGGGAAAAAACATTCGCTGCGTTTCAGTCACTCTATTTACTATACCAAATATTCTCATATATACCGAAACCTTTCTTTACAATTTGTGTATAGTGTACTATACACTGCCTCTATACCTATAGGGTACTGACTGTACTATATACCTATAGGGTACTGACTGTACTATATACTGCCTCTATACCTATAGGGTACTGACTGTACTATATACTGCCTCTATACCTATAGGGTACTGACTGTACTATATACTGCCTCTATACCTATAGGGTACTGACTGTACTATATACTGCCTCTATACCTATAGGGTACTGACTGTACTATATACTGCCTCTATACCTATAGGGTACTGACTGTACCATATACTGCTTCTATACCTATAGGGTACTGACTGTACTATACACTGCCTCTATACCTATAGGGTACTGACTGTACTATATACTGCCTCTATACCTATAGGGTACTGACTGTACTATACACTGCCTCTATACCTATAGGGTACTTACTGTACTATATACCTATAGGGTACTGACTGTAGCATATACTGCCTCTATACCTATAGGGTACTGACTCTACTATATACCTATAGGGTACTGACTGTACTATATACTGCCTCTATACCTATAGGGTACTGACTGTACTATATACCTATAGGGTACTGACTGTACTATATACTGCCTCTATACCTATAGGGTACTGACTGTACTATATACTGCCTCTATACCTATAGGGTACTGACTGTACTATATACCTATAGGGTACTGACTGTGCCATATACTGCCTCTATACCTATAGGGTACTGACTGTACTATATACTGCCTCTATACCTATAGGGTACTGACTGTACTATACACTGCCTCTATACCTATAGGGTACTGACTGTACTATATACCTATAGGGTACTGACTGTACCATATACTGCCTCTATACCTATAGGGTACTGACTGTACTATATACTGCCTCTATACCTATAGGATACTGACTGTACTATACACTGCCTCTATACCTATAGGGTACTGACTGTACTATATACCTATAGGGTACTGACTGTACCATATACTGCCTCTATACCTATAGGGTACTGACTGTACTATATCCTGCCTCAATACCTATAGGGTACTGAGTGTACTATATCCTGCCTCTATACCTATAGGGTACTGACTGTACTATATACTGCCTCTATACCTATAGGGTACTGACTGTACTATACACTGCCTCTATACCTATAGGGTACTGACTGTACTATATACTGCCTCTATACCTATAGGGTACTGACTGTACTATATACCTATAGGGTACTGACTGTACTATATACTGCCTCTATACCTATAGGGTACTGACTGTACCATATACTGCCTCTATACCTATAGGGTACTGACTGTACTATATACTGCCTCTATACCTATAGGGTACTGACTGTACCATATACTGCCTCTATACCTATAGGGTACTGACTGTACTATACACTGCCTCTATACCTATAGGGTACTGACTGTACTATATACTGCCTCTATACCTATAGGGTACTGACTGTACCATATACTGCCTCTATACCTATAGGGTACTGACTGTACCATATACTGCCTCTATACCTATAGGGTACTGACTGTACTATATACTGCCTCTATACCTATAGGGTACTGACTGTACTATATACCTATAGGGTACTGACTGTACCATATACTGCTTCTATACCTATAGGGTACTGACTGTACTATATACTGCCTCTATACCTATAGGGTACTGACTGTACCATATACTGCCTCTATACCTATAGGGTACTGACTGTACCATATACTGCTTCTATACCTATAGGGTACTGACTGTACTATATACTGCCTATATACCTATAGGGTACTGACTGTACTATATACTGCCTCTATACCTATAGGGCACTGACTGTACTATATACTGCCTCTATACCTATAGGGCACTGACTGTACTATATACCTATAGGGTACTGACTGTAGCATATACTGCCTCTATACCTATAGGGTACTGACTGTACTATATACTGCCTATATACCTATAGGGTACTGACTGTACTATATACTGCCTCTATACCTATAGGGTACTGACTGTACTATATACTGCCTCTATACCTATAGGGTACTGACTGTACTATATACCTATAGGGTACTGACTGTACCATATACTGCCTCTATACCTATAGGGTACTGACTGTACTATATACTGCCTCTATACCTATAGGGTACTGACTGTACTATATACTGCCTCTATACCTATAGGGTACTGACTGTACTATATACTGCCTCTATACCTATAGGGTACTGACTGTACTATATACCTATAGGGTACTGACTGTACTATATACTGCCTCTATACCTATAGGGTACTGACTGTACCATATACTGCCTCTATACCTATAGGGTACTGACTGTACTATATACTGCCTCTATACCTATAGGGTACTGACTGTAGAACAAGGGTGGTGTCATGATGCATAGGAGGGGACAGGGATTAGGCTATCTACACTTTCTGATGCAAGAGGAATTCAGGAAATACTTGTCCATCTTTACAGTTCAGTTAAAAAATAGGCTATTCCCTGGAAGCTATGACTGAAACAACATGTTGAAGTCCAAAGCAGAAAAATGACTAATTAAGCCTTTACGCTTTCAAGGAGATATAAAAAAAAATATCACAACCTTGATCAACAAGTTTCACCAGAGCGACGGATGAGTCAGCGGCAGACACCATAGGCACCAGCTGGCAGCATCAACCAATAGAAAGGGACGATCATGGCCTCATCATAGGCATCATCATGGATGAAATTCAAACATCATCCGACCTCCATAGCGAGAACAGTCGCTGTCTATCGTTGCTAACTAAAGCTGGAAGAAACACCAGCTACAGCAAATACAGTAAGCTATACGGAGACGGCTCTATCTAGCTATACTATAGTATAGCCTAGGCTACAAAGAGACGGCTCTATCTATCCGACAAACTGTATCGGATTCCGTACTAGAGCGAGCTTTCTAAACGGGTGTGCGAGCGCTGCTACAAATGCAAGATAACGCACCCGGAACAACCACACCAATCCGAATGTTGTAGCCTAAATAGTATTTGCATGCATTTTCTAACCAACAAACCATTTATTGCAAACATATTGTAGGCTTAGTAATAGCGGCGTCTATTTTACCATATTACATAATGTCTCTACTGCTAAAAGAGGACGATGGCAGCCATATCTATGTCACTGACTGCCTGTGTGTGCAATCCCAGCATTTGCAACAACAAACCTTATAAATAGGCCTATTCAACGATCCAGCGGAAATATTGGGCACAAGTCCACAAAGGTGTAAATACACAAGCAGGTTCAATAGGATCGGAGACTGCTTACCTGTGTCAGAAAGTGTCAAAGACGCCTGAATGGATACCGTTAATAGCCGGTGTCAGCCCTCGCTTGCAACGGATCGTCCTTGCTTTAAATGCCGGTTTCTGTCTGAAGATGAATTTGAGCCCGAGTATAGATTAGCCTATACAGTGTGCATATTTTTATTGATACAATAAATAAGTTACATGCACACAAGTGCTCCCAAATGGTCCTGCTCGCTTGAGAGACAGCTTTCGGGCTGAGACCAATGGAGAGCAGGCATCCTTCTGTATGAGCTTCGAGAGATGGCACGGGAATGCGTCATCCGATACATTAGCCAATCGCATCGGAGAGTTGGTCCATGAGCGCTTTGGGCACGCCTCGTTTCCAAGGCGGCGGTCCTTAGAGGCGTGTTCAGAGGGGGGACGCGTGATCTCACCACTGGCGCTCGGGCCAATTTCTGCGAGGTATAGGAAACAGGCAGTGCGTACAGGCGGTGCGATGCTGCATCATTGGACGTTCCTTTTGAATTGGTGTGGCATATTTTTTTTGACAATTTCAAACGTGATGCAAAGAAAGAACACACGTTTTTCGTTTAAAGTTAATCATTAAAATATGTTTTTTTTGTTTGTTTTTTTTACTTTGAAGAACTGTTTTATTTGCAAATGTCGAGGTCAAATCTGTGTAAAAAGCCTTGACCTGCTGTAACCTAGTCCTTAGTCCTTATTTATTCCTATCTAAAAATAAAAACAAATATATGTTTTATTGTCATATACATCGGATAGGTGCAGTGAAATGTGTTGTTTTACAGGGTCAGCCATAGTAGTAAGGTGCCCCTGGAGCAAATTAGGGTCAAGTGCCTTGCTCAAGGACACATCGACAGATTTGTATCTAGGTCGCTTCGCAATGTCTATGGGTGGATCATTGAATGCCACTGGCATATAGGCCATAATAGATTATATATTAGTAATGAATGGTTAAAAAGCCTGTAGCCTATGTATTTCAGTGCTATCGTCACGGATTTGAAACATTTCCGAACCCACATCATGGACCTAGTCGGATACATCATTTGTTCACTTATTTCTGCAAATATAGGCCTATATCTTTTCGTTCATTTGCATTAGGTAAATTGTGTCTGTGATTTTCCAGCAAAATTAATAAAACTTTGGCTACTATACCTGCATAGTAACATTTTATTTAAACAAAATAAATATTTGCCAGTGTTTTGCCTTATTTTATTAATTTCAGTTGAGTTTTCATGTGAGTTTATACATAAATTGGTGGTATTATCACTCATACTCTGTTGTTATGTATAAGGAGTAATGTATCAGATTAGAACATTTAATAATAAGCAGCTGTCACCAACTTTGTCCAGGAGAGCAGGTGACATAGATTATATAATATGGGGTGATGACACACACACACACACACACACACACACACACACACACACACACACACACACATCTGGTTCAACTGATATTTATTTAGCTCTTCCTAGCCTGAGGTAGGAAGGTGTAGGCTGCTATGCTGGGCTGGAACAAGAACTTTCACCTCTCTAAAACCGGAATGGTTTTAGTGAACACAGCTTTTAGATTACATTTTTTGGTGACCACTAGTTTTGAGTGGAGGCTGAGTGAGTGCCACTGCCAAGTAAGGATGAATCACAGAGTTTTTAAACGTAGGCCTACAATTCTATTTGGCTCAATCTTTCCCCCTGCCATGGGAAAACAAGGGATACTGTTGTAGCCTACTCAGTCTGCTACGCCCTCTTGTGGCAGAAAAGAAGAAACAAGGCTTTCCACTTTTCTCCGAATTAGCAAGGAACGCCCACCTTTTCCAGGAACGCCCTAGACGCAGTCTGCAGTCGGACATTTTCTCTTTTCGCGCGCAAATCTCAGCCGTTACTCATCCAAACTAGTAACGACGTGGCTGGCTAGCTAGATGTAAATATTGACAATTTGGAACTGTATCACACACATGTTATGGAGACAAGTTGTTTCTTTGATATCGACAATGAGTCGGCGTCAATTGTAGGTGATTCTGAAGGAGAAGAAGAAAAAAATATTTACCTGGACAGGTTTGGACACTTTTAGCTAGGTAGCTAGCTACCGACACTTCTAGCTAGCTAGCTAACGTTAGTTAGATAACTTCTAGCAAACCCAGTTCTCCGGTTGTCGCTAGTTACCACAGCCACAAAGTCATAATTGGCAACATATAAAAATCCATGAACATAAAATAGTTTTTTGTATAAGGTTAGCAGTATGGTTAATGTTAGGTTTAAAATCAGATTTTAAGAAAATAAATAGTAGAACTAGGCGGGATTTAGCCATAATTATGACCTTGTGGCTGTGTTAACTAATGACGACCCAGTTCTCCAGCCGAATTTAAATTTTTCGTGGATGAAATAGCTGACTAAAGTATTTTTATGAAATGTGTTCTCTTGTGCCAAAGTGATCTGCTGTGGGACTGCTAGGTCGACTATGTCTGGTTAGTAGCTAGCTACCATTTAGGTAGCTAACATTAGTTACTTTCTTCATTTTGTTTTTTACAGATTGATGCTTGCAGATTTGTTAGACTCGCCATACACACGTAATTTGTCCACACCACTCACCATCAATGGCTGTACAGACGGTAAGTTGGCCCTTCCAGCAAGGGTTCGGGCTACCTTGAGAAATAAAGCAAATTTGAACAAACTGCCATATCTTTGACACCTTTCACCGTTTCTGATGTGATACCATGCCTGTCCGCTAGGGTTTTCTCCTCAGATAGCGATGTTGACTTGTAGACGTTTGGATGGCATGGACCAAGTGCGTCTCACACCTGAGAAGGTAGCTTGTGCAACAGTAGCTCTCAAAACCCCTTTTTCTCTTGGGTTTTCTGAGGTGACATTCGCCCACGGTTGGCTCCATGTGAACTACAATTCAGATGCTGTGTTTTAAACATTTTGAAACGTCAATCATCGCTTTCAAACAGGTTTTTGAAACATATGGTGATATGCCCCTCTTTCATTTTGGCGAAAAATAATCTTTCAAATAAAACACATGCACTTACTGTAGCAATTTTGCACAGATCCACAAGCTGTGTGTGCCTCCAGTTGACGAACTACACTTTCTCCCCAGCTAGCTTACACACGTGTTCGGAGCACGCTAGTGTGGGAACCCTAACCCTATATAAAAATGTGTTGTAATTTAACCTTTTGTTTTTTGAAAATTATTTCTCGCTGATATTAAAGATACGTTCATTATGTTTCCAAAACCATACCGCAAGCGTTGCGTTTTAACGATCAGAACAAGGGTCTTTGATCTTAATAAAATCCCCCGACCAGAATATACTATTGTAAATAGGCACTAAAGCAGTTCCTGTCTATAACCACGTTTCCATCCACAGTTTTTATGTGAGTAAAGTCATACCGTATAATAAAATAATCACGACAGATGTGAAGGAAACAGGAAGTTTCGGTACAATTTTATAAATGGCAACAGATAATTTGTTTGTTCGACATGGTAACTTTGTGTCAGCAAAATAAATGATGGGCAAATTGCCTGTGGAAATGCCTTTAAGCGCAAACATTGATATAATAACCATCATATCCACGCGCAAACATTGATATAATAACCATCATATCGAAGTAAACTTGGAGTCACGCGATGATATGGTGTGTGGTCCTCCCACTACAACTCGGGAAAGCATGCAGTTTATTAGGCTACAGATGAAATAAGTTATGATGAATTTCACAGGGTGGTGAAAGTGCACAGTGATGAGCTTGATGCTCCTTTCCAATAAATATCAAGGGTCTTATTCTGGTGACATGATGGTCGATGGCAGCCGATTGACAAATACAAATTTGAAAATAAAGCTATTTTCTCCATGATAATCTCATCATGTATTGGCTATACCCGCACTGTATCTGCGAGTGGTTGGCTAGTGCGCACGTGCCAATAACAGAGTGGGCACATTTGCTATATAACGCACATTTTTTTGGTAACAAAACCATCAGTAGAGTTGAAAATGCGATGGAAACCCATTTAACTTGTAGTTTTTTATTCAGTACATGGGAATTTAATCGTACGTCATAACGCACAGACTTTTATCCGCAAAAGTAAATTTGATGGAAACATCTCTGGTGGAAAAATTGGCATATTTTATTTATGCGGATTCTAGACTTATTCGCATTAAAATCTGTCGCCAATTGGATGGAAACCTAGGAAGTGAATGGGTTAGTGCAGCAGTAGTGTTTTACACAAAATAAAGTCCTAGTTTACATGTTCTGTCACTCTTTTTTTCAACAACTATTTATCGGATTAGAATGTGTTTTGACAATTTTTTTCCTTCTGCAGATCCAATCCCCATATTTGTCAAGGTGTGTATAATCCATTTAGCTATATCATATCAAGTTTTAGTTATCAGTGCATGTTTATGGTTAACTGTGTAACGTTAGACTTATCTAATCATGAGTAAAATACCATTCTACTTCTCTGTTGATTACTTACTAATTTCCTCCCCTTTTCAACGCTAGGAGTTCTGGGAATCCAGATGACGAGAAAGGAATGGATAGTATTATCGCTCAAGGACATGATGGAGGTGTGTGTGTGTGTATGAGTATGAGTTTTCAAGGCCGCATTGCTAGCTGGCATTTGACAGATTACACTCTGAATGTATGCCTGCCCTATCTAGCTAGTCCCACTGACGACTATTAATGATGGTAGTTTATCACCAGTTGTAGAGTGAAGCAACTGCTTTGGTGGCACTTAACCCAATTTATGCATCCCAAATGGTACCCTATTCCCTATGTAGTACACTCATTTTCTGATCCACACCCATACTTTGTTTTAAAGCTATCTGTGACCAACAGATGCATATCTGTATTCCCAGTCATGAGTTTGCTATCATTTATTTCTGCCAGTATGCTATTTTTCCGCTGTATTGTACATCACAGATTAATACTGTTAAGGCTAACAACACCTATTTACCAGCGTATGTTGTTTTTTAATTTATGCTTTACAGAAGACAGTAAGGGGATGAAAGAAGAAGACTCCTCCGAGGGGTCAGTGTCCCATTCACACAGGGAGGGTACACAGCGGACCCTCGGGGACGTAATCCCAAAACTTTCCCGGGGTGGTGGTGATTGTGACCTCTCACAGAAGGAGACAGGTGCAGAGCCCAAGAGACAGACCAGGCTGACTGACAGTCAGACACAGGGGAGTAAACAGACCAGACCAATGGAGGGAAGCAGACCAACCAGGCAGACCAGAGGGACCAGACAGAATGACAACCAGGCACAGGAGAACCAACCGGTAAAGGGAGGGAACATCCTCAACACTTTCCTTTTGCGTAAAAATAGTGCACGGGTAGACGGAGTGCCAATCTGTTTGTGATGTCATGCCAAAGAGTGACAAGGAGATTGCATGACAGCACAAACAGTGAAAGGGTGCTTGAAGTCAACAGTAAACAAAGACTTCAATTGCAACTACATTAAGTGATTGCTGGTCCCCTGTTTTCAGTCCAGACAGAGCAGGGGCAACAACAGACAGAATCAGGAGACCAGTAGACAGTCAAAGGGAACACCATAGAGATCCTATTCAATTAGGATCTAATTCTGTGGGGAACATGCTCAACTCTCTCCACTTCCATAAAAACAGTGAAAGGAGGCTTGGAAGTCAACAGTGAACAAACAAAGACTTCAATAGCCATTACATCAAATGATTGCTGGTACACTTTTTTCATTGTTAGGAGAACAGACAGACCAGGCAGAGTGACAGTCAGAGCCAGGAGACCAGCAGACCAACCAGGCAGACTGACAGACAGAAGCAGGAGACCAGCGGACCATCCAGACAGACCAGGCTGACTGACAGCCAGAAGCAGGAGACCAGTGAACCAACCAGACAGACCAGGCAGACTGACAGACAGAAGCAGGAGACCAGCGGACCATCCAGACAGACCAGGCAGAGTGACAGCCAGAAGCAGGAGACCAGTGAACCAACCAGACAGACCAGGCTGACTGACAGCCAGAAGCAGGAGACCAGCGGACCAACCAGACAGACCAGGCTGACTGACAGCCAGAAGCAGGAGACCAGCGGACCAACGAGAGAGACCAGGCAGACTGACAGCCAGAAGCAGGAGACCAGCGGACCAACGAGAGAGACCAGGCAGACTGACAGACAGAAGCAGGAGACCAGCGGACCAACGAGAGAGACCAGGCTGACTGACAGCCAGAAGCAGGAGACCAGTGAACCAACCAGACAGACCAGGCAGAGTGACAGCCAGAACAGGCCAGGGACACTGAGAGGTAGGCTTACTAACACTCAGCACTGAGCATAGGATAATATTCACATGTATCTGAGTGTCACATGAATGTCGTATTGAGACAATTCAAACAAGGCAACAGTAAACATGCCATCCTACACCAATGATGCAGCGCCCCCCTTGGGCCAATCAGTATAATTTTGTAAATGCTGGATCTCTATGGCAAGACGCATCATTCACTCAAGTGTCCTGAAATTCGGGCCAGTGGTGTCTGAGATATCGCGTGGGTTAGCTAGACTCATATCCCTGAGCATGTTTGCCAAATTTCATCACTCTTGAGTCAAAAATGTCAAGAGATACAGTGGGGAGAACAAGTATTTGATACACTGCCGATTTTTCAGGTTTTCCTACTTACAAAGCATGTAGAGGTCTGTAATTTTTATCATAGGTACACTTCAACTGTGAGAGACGGAATCTAAAACAAAAATCCAGAAAATCACATTGTATGATTTTTAAGTAATTCATTTGCATTTTATTGCATGACATAGGTATTTGATCACCTACCAACCAGTAAGAATTCCGGCTCTCACAGACCATTAAGAAGCCCTCCTGTTCTCCACTCGTTACCTGTATTAACTGCACCTGTTTGAACTTGTTACCTGTATAAAAGACACCTGTCCACACACTCAATCAAACAGACTCCAACCTCTCCACAATGGCCAAGACCAGAGAGCTGTGTAAGGACATCTGGGATAAAATTGTAGACCTGGACAAGGCTGGGATGGGCTACAGGACAATAAGCAAGCAGCTTGGTGAGAAGGCAACAACTGTTGGCGCAATTATTAGAAAATGGAAGAAGTTCAAGATGACGGTCAATCACCCTCGGTCTGGGGCTCCATGCAAGATCTCACCTCGTGGGGCATCAATGATCATGAGGAAGGTGAGGGATCAACCCAGAACTACACGGCAGGACCTGGTCAATGACCTGAAGAGAGCTGGGACCACAGTCTCAAAGAAAACCATTAGTAACACACTACGCCGTCATGGATTAAAATACTGCAGCGCACGCAAGGTCCCCCTGCTCAAGCCAGCGCATGTCCAGGCCCGTCTGAAGTTTGCCAATGACCATCTGGATGATCCAGAGGAGGAATGTAAGAAGGTCATGTGGTCTGATGAGACAAAAATAGAGCTTTTTGGTCTAAACTCCACTCGCCGTGTTTGGAGGAAGAAGAAGGATGAGTACAACCCCAAGAACACCATCCCAACCGTGAAGCATGGAGGTGGAAACATAATTCTTTGGGGATGCTTTTCTGCAAAGTTACAGGATGACTGCACTGTATTGAGGGGAGGATGGATGGGGCCATGTATCGCGAGATCTTGGCCAACAACCTCCTCTCAGTAAGAGCATTGAAGATGGGTCGTGGCTGGGTCTTCCAGCATGACAACGACCCGAAACACACAGCCAGGGCAACTAAGGAGTGGCTCCGTAAGAAGCATCTCAAGGTCCTGGAGTGGCCTAGCCAGTCTCCAGACCTGAACCCAATAGAACATCTTTGGAGGGAGCTGAAAGTCCGTATTGCCCAGCGACAGCCCCGAAACCTGAAGGATCTGGAGAAGGTCTGTATGGAGGAGTGGGCCAAAATCCCTGCTGCAGTGTGTGCAAACCTGGTCAAGACCTACAGGAAACGTATGATCTCTGTAATTGCAAACAAAGGTTTCTGTACCAAATATTAAGCTCTGCTTTTCTGATGTATCAAATACTTATGTCATGCAATAAAATGCAAATTAATTACTTAAAAATCATACAATGTGATTTTCTGGATTTCTGCAGTGTATCAAATACTTGTTCTCCCCACTGTATAAACATGTGCCTGTTAAAGCGCCACCGTGTGGTTGATATGAATGTTCTTGCATATTTTGAGTCTTGACAGGGTTTGCAACGTGTACCAAAATGTGTTACAATACGAATATCCTTGACTGAATTATATGCTTTTATGTGCCAGACCACGCCCACATTAATGTTTATTGGTCAGTAGCAGCCATGTTGTTTTAGGTACTTGTCTGGAAAGTATTGCATTGAGAGACCTTTGTCCATAGATGTCACATATCAAGTTTCGTGCAGATCGGTCATTCGGTGCCAGAATAAATCAATGACATTTATTTATAAAGCCCTTTTTACATCAGCAGTTGTCACAAAGTGCTTATACAGAAACCCAGCCTAAAACCCAAAAGAGCAAGCAATGCAGATGTAGAAGCAAAGTGGCTAGGAAAAACTCCCTAGAAAGGCAGGAACCTTAGATGAAACCTAGAGAGGAAACAGGCTCTGAGGGGTGGCCAGTCCCCTTCTGGCTGTGCCGGGTAGAGATTATACGAGTACATGGCCATTAAGGCCAGATCGTTCTTCAAGATGTTCAAACGTTCATAGATGACCAGCAGGGTCAAATAATAATCATAGTGGTTATAGAGGGTGCAACAGGTCAGCACCTCAAGAGTAAATGTCAGTTTCCTTTTCATAGCCGAGCATTCAGAGGTCAAGACAGCAGGTGAGGGAGAGAAAGGGAGAGAGAGAGGGTCGAAACAGGAGGTCTGGGACAAGGTAGCACGACCGGTGAACAGATCAGGGTTCCATAGCAACAGGCAGAACAGTAGTAACTGGATCAGCAGCACGACCAGGTGGACTGGGGGCGGGGACAGCCAGGAGTCATCAGGCAAGGTAGTCCTGAGGCGTGGTCCTAGGGCTCAGGTCCTCCCGGAGGGGAGGGAGGGAGAGGGATATCAACAGACCACTAACTTACTATCCTGAGACAAGGCCAAGTATAGCCATGAAGATCTCCCCCATCGCACAAGCCCGAGGGTGCGCAAAACCGGACAGGAAGACCTCGTCAGTCACTCAACCCACTCATGTCGAGTTTAGCGAAAAAAGCCTGGCCCGACGTGATGCACCACTCAAATGGACGGCATGGGAGAGCGCAAGCATGTGGTCAGAGGCAAAGAATCCCAGTGGAGAGAGGGGAGCAGCAAGGGTGGTTCATCACTCCAGTGACTTGCCGTTCACCTTCACACTGCTGGGCCAGACCACACTCAATCATAGGACCTACTGAAGAGATGAGTCTTCAGTAATGACTTAAAGGTTGAAACTTGAGTCTGCTTCTTTCACATGGATCAGCAGACCATTCTATGAAAATGTTACTCTATAGGAGAAAAACCTGCCTCCAGCTGTTTACTTAGAAATTATAGAGACAATAAGGAGGCCTGCGTCTTGTGACCGTAGCGTATGTGTAGGTATGTACAGCAGGACCAAATCGGAGAGATAGGTAGGAGCAAGTCCATGTAATGCTTTATAGGTTAGCAGTAAAACATTGAAATCAGTCCTAGCCTTAACAGGAAGCCAGTTAGAGGCTAGCGCTGGAGTAATATGATAACATTTTGGGGTTCTAGTTAAGGATTCTAGCAGCCGTTTTTAGCACTAGCTGAAGTTTATTTAGTGCCTTATCCGGGTAGCTGGAGAATTGAACATTGCAGTAGTCTAATCTTGAAGTGACAAAAGCATGGATTAGCTTTTCTGCATCTTTTTTGGAACGAGAATTTCAGATTTTTGCAATGTTACTAAGATGGAAAAAAAGCGGCTCTTGAATATTTTTGATATGTTCGTCAAAAGAGAGATCGGGGTCCAGAGTAACGCTGAGGTCCTTCACAGTTATATTTTAGACGACTGTACAACCAGGGTGGGAAATTAACTTTTTGGTCCACCAGCCACTGTGGCAGGTAGATTAAAAAATCTACCAGCCACTCAGACTGTTGACCAACCACATTTTTTGTTGTTGCCATAATTACACAAAAACAAGAAATGTATTACTAGTAAGAAGAAATGTGGTATATTGCTCAATTCAATTTCATTTTTGTGACCAGTCTTTTAACCAATGTATGTTCAAAAAAATCATTTAGATACAATAGTAAAAAGTAAAACAGATAAACCGTTGTACAACTGAACATCAAGAATCAACAAAGTGCCTGCCCTGCCACAACATTACAGCTTATTTGTTATTATAGCTCAAGGCTCTAATGCTGACATGTTTTACAAGGATTAAAAGTTGATTACTCTTAAATACTTAAATAGATTACTTAAATAAATTGATATTTAGGAGCACATATACTATACACCCCTTCAAATTGGTGGATTTGGCTATTTCAGCCACACCCGTTGCTGACAGGTGTATAAAACCGTTCCAACAAGTCAGTTCGTCAAATTTCTGCCTCCGCACACAAGCCTAAGATCAACATGCGCAATGCCAAGCGTCGGCTGGAGTGGTGTAAAGCTTGCCGCCATTGGACTCTGGAGCAGTGGAAACGCGTTCTCTGGAGTGATGAATCACGCTTCACCATCTGGCAGTCCGACGGACAAATCTGAGTTTGGTGGATGCCAGGAGAACGCTACCTGCCCCAATGTATAGCGCCGACTGTAAAGTTTGTGGAGGAGGAATAATAGTCTAGGGCTCGTTCGGGATAGCCCCCTTAGTTCCAGTGAAGGGACATCTTATTGCTACAGCATACAATGACATTCTAGACGATTCTGTGCTTCCAACTTTGTGGCAATAGTTTGGGGAAGGCCCTTTACTGTTTCAGCATGACAATGCCCCTGTGCACAAAGCGAGGTCCATACAGAAATGGTTTGTCGAGATCGGTTTGGAAGAACTTGACTGGCCTGCACAGTGTCCTGACCTCAACCCCATCGAACACCTTTGGGATGATTTGAACGCCGACTGGGAGCCAGGCCTAATCACCCAACATCAGTGCCCGACCTCACTAATGCTCTTGTGGCTGAATGGAAGCAAGTACCCGCAGCAATGTTCATCTAGTGGAAAGCCTTCCCAGAAGAGTGGAGGCTGTTATAGCAGCAAAGGGTGGACCAACTCTATATTAATGCCCATGATTTTGGCATGATATTTTCGGTGAGCAGGTGTCCACATACTTTTGACCATGTGTCAATAAATATTGAAGCACAATTAAATGATTTGAGTGTTTTAATGAGAAATGACTAAAGGTTCATGAATAAAAAAAAATTGGAGTGTTCCCTGCTCAGTCATGCACAATGTACTCCCAAAAATGTGAGTCATTAGGTGAGACAAAAATGTTCAGCTGCCCCTTTAAGGGGCGGGCAATTACCGTGGTAACGGCACTCCATGTCTGTCAGAGATGAGAATCTCAGTGTCTGCGCTAGCAGCAGACAGTTGCAGGAAACTCAAACTAATATTGAAAAACACCCTTGCGTTTGAACAAAACGATTTAACTAGCCGAGAAACATGAGGACAAAGTCACACTTTAGTAGTCTTTCAGGTCAATTCAACCAACTTCTACATTTGGCCTTTGGAAATAACTGTTCCCAAATGCTGTGTGTTACCACCCGCCAACTTGGCTGGTGAAATAGACATTCTTACCCGCCTGTTAATTTCCCACCCTGTTTACAACCATTGAGATTCATAGTCAGATCCGACAGCAGATCTCGTTTTTTCTTGGGACCTAGAACTAGCATATCTGTTTGGTCCGAGTTTAAAAGTAAAACATTTGCCGCCATCTACATCCTTATGTCACAGAGGCTTCCAGTGTACGTAATTTTGGGGCTTCACCATGTTTCATAGAAATGTACAGCTGTGTGTTGTCTGCATAGCAGTGAAATGACATCACCAAGAGGTAGCATATAGAGTAAAAACAATAGTGGTCCTAGAACGGAACCTTGAGGAACACTGAAACTTACCATTGATTTGTCAGAGGACAAACCATCCACAGAGACAAACTGATATCTTTCCGACATATAAGATCTAAACCAGACAAGAACTTGTCCCTGTCGACCAATTAGGGTTTCTAATCTCTCCAAAAGAATGGGGTGAGTAGCGTTTTAAGTGTTTTCCACAAAATGTAAAATGGCAGAAAATCCATCATGGTGGACCTTATGGGTCCCTGAAGCAAATTTGTTCCTTGTGAGAAGAGGGACCTATGTATCGAATTTTATGACTTTAGATCAAACGGGCTGATGGGCGTGACCTTTCAAAGTTAGCATTTTCAGTCCTTTAATATAGCGCCACCATCTGGCCAATCAGTGTAATTGTGTAAATGCCTGATCGCTATGGCAAGACACATCATTCACTCAAGTTTCGTCATAATCGGGCTAGTGCTGTCTTGAGATAGCGCATGTGACTAAAGTACGAACGGACAGAGACAGATCCACAGTCCCCTCCCCGATTTCATGATGGGGGACAGTGAAGCAAATTGTATAAAGAGGGTGGAATATGCATGAATGGGATAACAGATGCACGGATGGATGGCTGGATGAATGAATAAGGTGCATGTTTGGTGAAGTTCTTGAGATGAACAGTAGGGGGAGTCAGTACAGCAGCAATCAATCCACTTGTTTTCTGGCCCTAACCAGATAGACAGTTAACTTGTCTTCTGGGCCTAACCAGATATACAGTAAGCCTGTCTTCTGGGCCTAACCAGATATACAGTAAGCCTGTCTTCTGGGCCTAACCAGATATACAGTAAGCCTGTCTTCTGGGCCTAACCAGATATACAGTAAGCCTGTCTTCTGGGCCTAACCAGATATAAAGTAAGCCTGTCTTCTGGGCCTAACCAGATATACAGTAAGCCTGTCTTCTGGGCCTAACCAGATATACAGTAAGCCTGTCTTCTGGGCCTAACCAGATATACAGTAAGCCTGTCTTCTGGGCCTAACCAGATATACAGTAAGGCTTTATTGGAGGCCAGGTCAGGGGCCCATAGGGGTCTAGTCAAAAGTAGTGCACTGTATAGGGAATACGGTGCCATCTGGGAGACACATCAGGGTTCCCAATTGTTAAAGAATTTCTGGGATGTCATGTAATTATTTTATTTTTATTTTTTGGTCATTTAGCAGACACTCTTATCCAGAGTGACTTACATGAGCAATTAGGGTTAAGTACCCTGCTTAAGGGCACATCGACAGATTTTTCACCTAGTCGGCTCGGGGATTAGAACCAGCGACCTTTCGGTTACTATTCATTCCCAACTGGGATGTTCATTCCCAACGGGGGTGTAATAAACGTATTTCTGCAATCGTGGAAAAGGGGAGGGTAATATTTTCCAGTTGGGGTGCCAAGACACCACACAATGGTACACAACAGACCACACAGAACACCATGCATTTGATTTGCATAGTCACTTATTTTACAGCCTTACGCCATCAACTGTTTGACAGCTCTCAGAGCCATTCTACAACAGCCATTCTACAACAACAGCCAGCAAGCATGATGGCTGGTATTGTTACTCTGGATATGGCGGTGTAATTTGTTCAGGTTTATGAAGCTGTGAGATGGAGACAGAGGATGTGTCCCAAATGCCACCCTATTCCCTATATAGTACTCTACTTAACCGTTGACCAGGAAGGCCCATAGGGCTCTGGTCAAATGTAGTACACTATTTAGGGAATAGGGTACCATTTGGGACGCACCCAGAGCCCTATGGGCTCCGGTGTATGATAAAACATTCCTTGCTGTGTGTGTATCTTCAGCGGTAACATACAATGACCAGTGTTTTTCCAGCCCCTAGGCCGATGTGTTACGAAGACACTGGCATGAACACAAGCTCCCCAGTCCAGTGTACATGTTTTGTACGTGCTGTACTGACCTTATTGAATAAGGTTCTGATTGTGTGGATGGCTGAGCATGGCTGTAAGCAGGGGCTATAAAACTGACGTACAGATAGCTGTGCAGATAGCAGTGTACACACATGTACATGTAATGTAGCAGTGTTTCCCTTATCATTGGATAGGCAGGACAGGCCCCTGTTCCCTTTGATCTTTGTGTCGTATCTAAAATAATTGGTTTCAATTTAAATGTTTTGGTTAAAGAGGCCTTGGAAGTTGATTTGGAGGACTTGGCTGTCTGAGTAGCCTCCACAGGAGGGTCCACCTTGATTATGTCAATAGCTGAGTCTACCTATACCTTAAGGGTTAGAGTTAGTCTATCTATATATTTAGAGTTAGGGTTAGCTGAGTCTGTCTATATATTTAGAGTTAGGGTTAGCTGAGTCTATCTATATATTTAGAGTTAGGGTTAGCTGAGTCTATCTATATATTTAGAGTTAGGGTTAGCCCCTCTAGTAATTTAATAGTATCTCTATGGTCCACCTATACCTTTAGGGAGACATTTAACGTGGTGTAAAAGCTTTTCTTCAACAATTAAAAAGAGTTGACTATTTATGTATTGCTCAGTTTACTACACTAGTTAAATAATCACCTCCTTTTAACGCACATCGTTGAAGAAAAGTTTCAAATTAAATCACGCTGCCAGATTACAATGAGGTTTATGGTAAATGTTGCACTAAACACAATGCTTTTTCACCGCATCACCATTCCTATGCTCTTCTCAGGTGTGAAGCAGAACCCTGGGGGGTCCCAGAGTGGGCGGGCCGTCACCCCTCTGAATGTCCTCCACCGGAAGAACCCTTACGGGGAGACTGTACTCCACGTTGCAGTCATGCGGGGAGACACCCAGAGGGTCAGAGGCATGCTGTCACAGGGCCCCGACGTCAACATGGCCGACAACGCAGGTAAGATATCAGAGGAGGGTGGTGGGCTGCAATCTGTCACTTCAGTTAGGTTCAATAAACTTTTATAGATACTGACACACAGGGCCTAACATTTAAACCCGCCACCTGCCACCTAGGGGTAGATTCTGGCATTGGCGGGTAAGATGTCTATTCCACCAGCCACATTGGTTGGTGGGTGGTCAGGGCTCCACAGTGTGAGCATTTCACTCGCATTTGTGAATAAAAATAGTCAAGTATGATCACATTTATAGTAAAACAAATGCTGCAGTAGCTGTTTTCAAAGTAATTCTGCTGTTTTGTTTCACAACTGATAAATTAAATCGCACAAAGTCAAAGAACTATGAATCCTATATACCCTATCCCACCTCGAGCTGCAACACTGCCAGGCTGGGAGCTGTGCACACGTGAAGAGCTGAGTTCAAGATTCATTTTTAGAAGCGCTGCGCACAGACATAAAAGTTGGTCTAATTTACTTGAAACGAACGTCTACTGAAGTGAGACTTTGTCCTTGTGTTTCTATGGCTATTTACCTTGTTTTGTTCACAAGTTAGGCTGTTTTTCACTGCTTGAGTTTCAACTGCTAGGGAAGAGAAGACAATGCTGGTACTAGTCAGACTCTCAATCTCAAAGGCACAAACATGACTGAGTGTCACGCCCTGGCTCTGGGGACTCTTAAATGTTGAGCCAGGGTGTGGATTTTCATTGTTTAGTTTTCTATGTTTTTCGTTCTAGATCAGGGGTGTCAAACGTCCGGCCCACGGGCCGGACCAGGCCCGCAAACGGGTTTAATCCGGCCCGCGAGATGATAAAAATAAAAAATATTTTTTTTTTTTTAAATAATTTGTAAAGTATAAAAATGCGATGCAATTTTTCAATAAAATAAACTGCTGTTCCAATTGCGTCCACTGGATGGCGCAATAGCAATTGTGTTAAGCAAGCAAACTGTTTATACCGGGGCAGAGCAAGTAGGTCAAGCACGTGCAGCCAATGAGGTACTTTGTTTTGCCCGCGATATTTATTACGGCTTCTACTTTTAACATTATGTGCTTTGGCACCCTCATTGCCCCAATATGTCTCTGTCAAAAAAGAGAAAAGTGGACGCAGAGTGCAGAGTGTTCCAAGAAAAATGGTCATCCTATTTATGCTGAAAGAATATAACCTTCGTCGCCACTATGTGAGTCTTCATGCCGACAAATATGACAACTTTCAAGGACAGCGGAGATGAGAGAAGGTGAATGAACTGTTGGCGGGTCTGAAGAAACAGCAGTCTGTGTTTACTCACAGCCGAGACATCAGTGATGCTGCAGTGAAAGCTAGCTACCTCATTGCTAATGAAATCGCAGTGGCTTCAAAACCATTTAGTGAGGGTGAATTTGTAAAAACATGCATGATGAAGGCAGCGGAGATTGGGTGCCCTGAAAAGCGGCAGGCTTTTGCAAATATCAGCCTGACAAGAAACACAGTTGCAGACAGGATTTCCGATCTTTCAGTGGATTTGGACAGCCAGTTGAAGCAAAAAGTAAAGTCATTTATTGCGTTTTCGGTTGCAATTGATGAAAGCATGGACATTACAGATGTTGCACAACTGGCCATTTTCATCCGCGGAGTTGATGACACATTGACCGTCACAGAGGAGTTCGTGGAGTTGGTGCCGATGACAGATACAACGACAGCAGCTGATATTTTTACCGCACTCGTCGGCGCGCTGGACAGGGTCGGAGTGGACTGGTCCCGCGCTGTCAGCCTGGCTACAGATGGTGCGCCCTCAATGATCGGGGAAAAAGGCAGGCGTTGTGACAAAGTTCAGAGAGAAAGTGCAATCTGCAAATGGAGGACGTGATTTTTTGACTTTTCACTGTATTTTGCACCAGGAGGCTTTGTGTTGCAAGTCATTAAAGATGGATAACGTCATGAAGGTGGTCATCCAAACTGTTAATTTCATCCGATCCAGAAGCCTGAATCACCGTCAGTTTGACAGCCTTCTCAGAGAGAAAGACCACATCTATGGCCTGCCATACCACACTGAGGTAAGATGGTTAAGCCGAGGTGCTGTGCTGAGGCGTTTCTTTGATTTACGAGAAGAAATTGAACAGTTCATGGAAGAAAAGGGCAAACCAGTGTTAGAATTTCATTCCGCAGAATGGATGCAGGACCTTGCATTTATGGTGGATGTTACAGAGCACCTGAATAACTTGAACAAACAGCTGCAAGGGCGCAACAAAGTTGTCACGCAGTATTATGACAGCATACGTTCTTTCAAGTTGAAGCTGTCATTGTGGGAGACGCAACTTGCCGGTGGTGGTGCAGCTCACTTCCCCTGTCTGAAAAATGTGTGCGCGACCCAACATGTGGCAGACATGAAGCGGTTCAAAGATAAAATAACGGGACTGTTACGGGAGTTTGAGCAACGCTTTCAGATTTATGTTTATATGTTTTTATGTTGAGGTGCTATTGTTTTTAATTGATTTTATTTTATTTGTATATTTAACCTATTATTGACTCTGTGGTTCTTGCACTTGTTTGGGGAACAGGATTTCATTATTTTTATCTACATTTCTGCCTGAGAAATGACACCCTGATATAGTTCTGTGATCTGTGATATACTTCTGTGAATCACTGAGGCATTGTGTGTTTGTGTGTTCTTTGTCCTCAGAACTTTCAAATAACTTGAGGTGTTTTATGATTAATAGTGATGTTGTGCTTTTGGACACTGTCCTCAGGCTCCAGCTTTATGTTTATATGTTTTTATGTTGATGTGCTATTGTTTTTAATTGATTTTATTTTATTTGTATATTTAACCTATTCTTGACTCTGTGGTTCTTGCACTTGTTTGGGGAACAGGATTTCATTATTTTTATCTACATTTCTGCCTGAGAAATGACACCCTGATATAGTTCTGTGATCTGTGAAACAGTTCTGTTAATCACTGAGGCATTGTGTGTTTGTGTGTTCTTTTTCTTTAGAATTTTCAAATAAACTTGATGTGTTTTATGATTAATAGTGATGTTGTGCTTGTACTATTTTGGACACACTGTCCTCAGGCTCCAGCTTTATGTTGTATGTTGATCGTATTAAAACAAAGAAAACAATCTGAAGTTGTTGTTTTTAAGTTATATATACCATGATTTTTCCGGTCCGGCCCACTTGGGAATAGATTTTCCTCCATGTGGCCCCTGAGCTAAAATGAGTTTGACACCCCTGTTCTAGATTGTGTATATCTATGTTGGCCAGGGTGGTTCCCAATCAGAGACAGCTGTAGCTCGTTGTCTCTGATTGGGGACCATACTTAGGCAGCCTTTTGGCATGTTAGTTTTGTGGGATCTTGTTCCGTAAGGTTTTGTGTATAACCTAGGACTTCACGTATCGTTTGTTTATTGTTTTGGTTCGTGTTGTGTACGCTATAAAGAATGTACGCTTATCACGCTGCGCCTTGGTCCGCTTCATCTGTCAACGATCGTGACAGAAGATCCCACCAAGAGAGGACCAAGCAACGTGCCCAGGAGGAGAAGTTGGCGATGTCCCAGGTGGGCGAATGGTGGTCTTGGGAGGACATATTCGCGGGCAGAGGGCCATGGGCAAAAGTAAATGCCCAGGCAGGAGAGGAGAAACGGCGCCAACCGTGCCGACGACGGACACGCGAGAGGCAACCCCAAGTAATTTTTTGGGGGGGGCACACGGCGTGGACAACGGGGCTGCTGGAGGCAGCTACAGGGCGAATCGGCGGACTAGGAGAGGAGGCCACCAGGTTTGGGGGGCTGGAAGGGTGGTTGGCGGAGCCTAGAGGTAGAGCAGAGCCAACTCCCCGTACTCAGGCTAGGCAGCGTGAGACTGGGCAGGTTCCGTGTTATGCGGAGCCACGTACTGTGCCGCGAGTGTTCCGGCACAGTCCTGTGCTAGCACCACGCACGTGTTGTGCTAAGGTGGGCATGCAGCCAGGACGGAGTGTGCCGGCTCAACGCTCGTGGCCTCCAGTACCCCTCCTCGGTCCCGGATATCCTGCGCCAGTGCCACGTGCTGTAGTGCCAGTACGAGTGCACAGCCCTGTACGTCCTGTGCTGATGCCTCACACAGATTGTGTGGAAATAGGCATTCAGCCAGGACGGGTTGTGTCAGCTCTCCGCTCCAGACCTCCAGTCCGTCTCCACAGTCCAGCCCGGCCTGTTCCTGTCCCTCGCACCAAGCCTGTAAGTGCACGTCGCCAGCCCGGTCCTGCCTGTTCTTGTCCCTCGCACGAAACCAGTGGTGCGCGTCGCCAGCCCTGGTCCGGCCTGTTCCTGCTTCCCGCACCAAACCAGTGGTGCGCGTCGCCAGCCCGGTCCGGCCCGTTCCTGCTCCCCGCACCAAGCCAGTGGTGCGCGTCGCCAGCCCGGTCCGGCCTGTGCCTGTCACTCGCACCAAGCCTGTGGTGCGCGTCGCCATCCCGGTCCGGCCTGTTCCTGGTCCCTCGCACCAAGCCTGTGGTGCGCGTCGCCAGCCCGGTCCGGCCTGTTCCTGCTCCCCGCACCAAGCCAGTGGTGCGCGTCGCCAGCCCGGTCCGGCCTGTTCCTGTCCCTCGCACCAAGCCTGTGGTGCGCGTCGCCAGCCCGGTCCGGCCTGTTCCTGCTTCCCGCACCAAGCCTGTGGTGCGCGTCGCCAGCCCGGTCCGGCCTGTTCCTGCTCCCCGCACCAAGCCTGTGGTGCGCGTCGCCAGCCCGGTCTGTTCCTGCTCCCCGCACCAAGCCTGTGGTGCGCGTCGCCAGCCCGGTCTGTTCCTGCTCCCCGCACCAAGCCTGTGGTGCGCGTCGTCAGCCCGGTCCGGCCTGTTCCTGCTCCCCGCACCAAGCCAGTGGTGCGCGTCGCCAGCCCGGTCCGGCCCGTTCCTGCTCCCCGCACCAAGCCAGTGGTGCGCGTCGTCAGTCCGGCACGGCCCGTGCCTGTTCCACCGGTGCCTGGTCCGGCACCGGGCAGCTGCTCCACTCCGGAGCCAGAGCAATCCGCTCCATCGGTGTCCAGTCCAGCTCCGGCCAGCGGGACCAGATCAGGGGCGCTACGGGGGGGTGGAGAGAGAGTGGTGGTCACGCCCGGAGCCGGATCCGCCTCCGAGGCGGAATGCCCACCCGGCCCCTACCCTCTTGTGTTTGGTTGGCGTGGTCGCAGTCCGCGCCTTTAGGGGGGGGGGTACTGTCACGCCCTGGCTCTGGGGACTCTTAAATGTTGAGCCAGGGTGTTGATTTTCATTGTTTAGTTTTCTATGTTTTTCGTTCTAGATCGTTTATATCTATGTTGGCCAGAATGTTTCCCAATCAGAGACAGCTGTAGCTCGTTGTCTCTGATTGGGGACCATACTTAGGCAGCCTTTTGGCATGTTAGTTTTGTGGGATCTTGTTCCGAAAGGTTTGTGTTGTAACCTAGGACTTCACGTATCGTTTGTTTATTGTTTTGGTTCGTGTTGTGTACACTAAATAAAGAATGTACGCTTATCACGCTGCGCCTTGGTCCGCTTCATCTGTCAACGATCGTGACACTGAGTTGCGTTACCAAGGTAACCTCCCGCCCTTAAAGGGTCAGGGGAAAATTGTTGTCTTATCTGTGATATTTTGGTTAAACAATATACCACATTACTTCTTACTGGTAATACATTTATTGTGTTCGAAATATTACAAAGCATGCTCATCCATTTGTTGTGTGTTTTGTTGGTGTAAATGTAGCACTAAAAAATAATAATTGTCTGGTAAAAAAAAATCTGAGTGGCTGGTAGATTTTAAAATCTACCTGCCACAGTGGTTGGTGCACCAAAATGTTAATTTTAGGCCCTGCTCACACACAACGCAGGAAAAGACACTGGACTGGAGGGGGTACATTTATGGACATGGTTTCCTTTTTATACTTTTATTGATATTTTTCTTTAAACAATGATTGAATAGAATATAAATGTTTTGTCCATTGAAACTGACATTTACCTTTTTTGCTGTTTGTCTATTTTACGAGTAGGGTCATTTCCTGTGTATAGTGATGCAGGAATTAATTCAGTCATCCTGAACAGACTTGAATGAAATGAATAGAGCATCTCTCTATGCTGTGACCATCAGTTGTTGCTTTATTGTCTCTCACAGGTTGGACTCCTCTTCACGAGGCTGTGTCCCACGGTCACTATGAGATCAGTAAAGACCTGATCCAGACAGGAGCTCTGGTCAACTGTATTGGAGACAATGGAACCACGCCTTTACATGATGCTGTAGTGACAGGGACACCTGCAGGTACATATGCCGTACATGGTCTTCTCCTTGGCACTGACGCCCTAGGCTTACTTGTGTGTTTGTGCTGCATATAAGATAATATTGTTTTGTGTGTGTGTCCCAGATAGCAGAGCTGCTGTTGAAGCACGGGGCAGACCCTCTACTGAAGAACAACAACGGGCAGACAGCCTATAGCAACACCACAGAACCCTCTCTGATCAAACTCATGGAGAACAACATCCCCAAGAACAAGAGAAAGGCACTAGCAGGTCTGGACCTTTTCCGTAACCAAGGGTGTGTCCCAAATGGCACCCTATTCCCTTTATAGTGCACTACTTTGGGCCAGGTCCCAAATTAAATAGGCCAACATGTTTGTTCTCTCTATGTCTCTTGTAGGGAGAAGCGGGGAGCAGTCAGGAGCTGGAGGACCCATGTAAGTTGGCGGTGGGGGAAAGTGGCTGAGGTTTACACATCTAGCCTACCATAACCAGAAAGCCCCATTGTCATAGGCACATTTCATATCACCTAGGCTATACATGTGGCTCAGTTGGTAGAGCATGGTGCTTGAAACGCCAGGGTCGTAGGTTCCATTCCTGCTGGGGCCACACATACGAAATTTGTATGCATGCATGACTAAGTTGCGTTAGCTAAATAGCATATTTTTATATATTACACAACAAACCCCTGTGATTCTTGTAGTACATTGTTGATGATTGATTAACATTTGTCTAAGTCAACAAACTAAGTCAACAAACTAAGTCAACACAATGTCATATAAGAGCTATAGCCCTTTGTTAATACTATAGGTCTAAATAGGTCTGAGACAGGACTCTCCAACCCTGTTCCTGGAGAGCTACCCTTCTGTAGGTTTTCACTCCAACCCCAGTTATAACTAACCTGACAATGACATTGCTCATCCATATATTTATATATTCTTATTCCATTCCTTTACTTAGATTTGTGTGTATTAGATATTTGTTGTGGAACTGTTAAGATATTACTTGCTAGGAAATTTAAATAATGCATTCCAACCTCTGGATTTTTCTAACCTTTCTGGACTATACAACAAAATTATGATGGTCCTCTGTAGCTCAGCTGGTAGAGCACGGCGCTTGTAACGCCAAGGTAGTGGGTTCGATCCCCGGGACCACCCATACACAAACATGTATGCACGCATGACTGTAAGTCGCTTTGGATAAAAGCGTCTGCTATAATAATAATAATAATAAAGCACATGCGTTAATTAATATTACTGCACTGTTGGAGCTAAAAGCACAAGCATTTCGCTACACTCGCAATTACATCTGCTAACCATGTGTATGTGACCAATACATTTGATTTGATTTGATTTTTGATTTGATTCAGCTTCTCAAATCAAATCAAATGTTATCTGTCACATACGTCGAATACAACCAGTGTAGACCTTACCGTGAAATGCTTACTTACAAGCCCTTAACCAACAATGCAGTTCAAGAAAATAGTTAAGAAAATATTTACTAAATAAAATAAAATAAAGTAAAAAATAAAATAAAAAGTAACACAATAAAATAACAATAACGAGGCTATATACAGGGGGTACCGGTACCGAGTCAATGTGGCGGGGGTACAGGTTAGTCAAAGTAATTTGTACATGTAGGTAGGGGTAAAGTGACTGCATAGATAATAAACAGGGGGGAGTCAATGTAAATAGTCTGGGTGGCCATTTGATGAATTGTTCAGCAGTCTTATGGCTGGGGGTAGAAGCTGTTAAGGAGCCTTTTGGACCTAGACTTGGCGCTCCGGTACCGCTTGCCGTGCGGTAGCAGAGAGAACAGTCTATGACTAAGGTGGCTGGAGTCTTAGAAAACATTTTGGGCCTTCCTCTGACACCGCCTAGTATATAGGTCCTGGATGGCAGGAAGCCATCCAGGACCTGGTACTTCCTGCTTTAGTTTTTGCTTTTAAGCAGGAATCAGGAGGATAGAATTATGGTCAGATTTGCCAAATGGAGGGCGAGGGAGAGCTTTGTATGCGTCTCTGTGTGTGGAGTAAAGGTGGTCTAGAGTTGTTTTCCCTCTGGTTGCACATGTGACATCAGGCGAACAATACCTCGAGACTTCTGTAGACTTCTGTGGTCCTCTGTAGCTCAGCTGGTAGAGCACGGCGCTTGTAACGCCAAGGTAGTGGGTTCGATCCCCGGGACACCCATCACAAAAAAAATTATGCAACGCATGACTGTAAGTCGCTTTGGATAAAAGTGTCTGCTAAATGGCATATTATTATTAATACTTCCTTAATATTAGACATCGCGCACCAGCTGTTATTGACACACACCCCCTCCCCTCGTCTTACCAGACATGACTGTTCTGTCCTGCCGATGCACGGAAAACCCAGCCAACTGTATATTATCCGTGTCGTCGTTCAGTCATGACTCGGTGAAACATAAGATATTAGAGTTTTTAATGTCCCGATGGTAGGATAGTCTCGAACGGAGCTCATCCAGTTTATTCTCCAGTGATTGCACGTTGGCCAATAGAATGGATGGAAGTGGCGCGTTACCCACTTGCCGACGAATTCTCACAAGGCACTCCGATCTCCGCCCCCTGTATTTCTGTCTTTTCTTCACGTGAATGACGGGGATTTGGGCCTGGTCTCGGAGAAGCAGTATATCCTTTGTGTCGGACTCATTAAATAATACATCTTTGTCCAGTTCGAGGTGAGTAATCGCTGTTCTGATGTCCTGAAGCTCTTTTCGGTCATAAGAGACGGTAGCAGCAACATTATGTAGAAAATAAGTTACAAGCAATGCGAAAAAACACACAAAATAGCACAGTTGGTTTGGAGCCCGTAAAACGGCAGCCATCCCCTCCGGCACCATTATATCAACAAGTGAATTACTAGAATCAGGTGTGCTAGATTAGGGTTTGAGTAAAAACCTACAGGACTGTAGCTCTCTAGGAACAGGGTTGGGGAGCCCTGGTCTGGGGTATATTAGGCTAATATCTGTTGTCTGTAAAGGAGAGCGTTGAGGTCAGTGTCCAAGGGCACTGTGTCCAGGAACATCCCTGGGGGGTCCCAGAGCGGGCGGACCGTCACCCCTCTGAATATCCTCCACCGGAAGAACTGTTACGGGGAGACTCTACTCCACGTTGCAGCCATTCAGGGAGACATCCAGAGGGTCAGAGACATGGTGTCACAGGGGCTCGACGTCAACATGGCCGACAACGCAGGTAAGACATATAAACTCAGCAAAAAAAGAAACGTCCCTTTTTCAGGACCATGTCTTTCAAAGATAATTCGTAAAATTCCAAATAACTTCACAGATCTTCATTGTAAAGGGTTTAAACACTGTTTCCCATGCTTGTTCAATGAACCATAAACAATTAATGAACATGCACCTGTGGAACGGTCGTTAAGACACTAACAGCTTACAGACGGTAGGCAATTAAGGTCACAGTTATGAAAACTTAGGACACTAAAGAGGCCATTCTACTGACTCTGAAAAACACCAAAAGAAAGATGCCCAGGGTCCCTGCTCATCTGCGTGAATGTGCCTTAGGCATGCTGCAAGGAGGCATGAGGACTGCAGAAGTGGCCAGGGCAATAAATTGCAATGTCCGTACTGTGAGACGCCTAAGACAGCGCTACAGGGAGACAGGACGGACAGCTGATCATCCTCGCAGTGGCAGACCACGTGTAACAACACCTGCACAGGATCGGTACATCCGAACATCACACCTGCGGGACAGGTACAGGATGGCAACAACAACTGCCCGAGTTACACCAGGAACGCACAATCCCTCCATCAGTGCTCAGGCTGTCCGCAATAGGCTGAGAGATGCTGGACTGAGGGCTTGTAGGCCTGTTGTAAGGCAGGTCCTCACCAGACATCACCGGCAACAACGTCACCTATGGGCACAAACCCACCGTCGCTGGACCAGACAGGACTGGCAAAAAGTGCTCTTCACTGACGAGTCGCGATTTTGTCTCACCAGGGGTGATGGTCGGATTCGCGTTTATCGTCGAAGGAATGAGCGTTACACCGAGGCCTGTACTCTGGAGTGGGATCGATTTTTAGGTGGAGGGTCCGTCATGGTCTGGGGCGGTGTGTCACAACATCATCGGACTGAGCTTGTTGTCATTGCAGGTAATCTCAACGCTGTGCGTTACAGGGAAGACATCCTCCTCCCTCATGTGGTACCCTTCCTGCAGGCTCATCCTGACATGACCCTCCAGCATGACAATGCCACCAGCCATACTGCTCGTTCTGTGCGTTATTTCCTGCAACACAGGAATGTCAGTGTTCTACCATGGCCAGCGAAGAGCCCGGATCTCAATCCCATTGAGCACGTCTGGGACCTGTTGGATCGGCGGGTGAGGGCTAGGGCCATTCCCCCTAGAAATGTCTGGGAACTTGCAGTTGCCTTGGTGGAAGAGTGGGGTAACATCTCACAGCAAGAACTGGCAAATCTGGTGCAGTCCATGAGGAGGAGATGCACTGCAGTACTTAATGCAGCTGGTGGCCACACCAGATACTGACTGTTACTTTTGACCCCCCCCTTTGTTCAGGGACACATTATTCAATTTCTGTTAGTCACATGTCTGTGGAACTTGTTCAGTTTATGTCTCAGTTGTTGAATCTTGTTATGTTTATACACATATTTACACATTTTATGTTTGCTGAAAATAAACGCAGTTGACAGTGAGAGGACGTTTCTTTTTTTTGCTGAGTTTAACAGCCATTTATATTGAACAAAAATAAAAACGCAACTTGCAACAATTTCAATGATTTTACTGAGTTACAGTTCACATAAGGAACTCAGTCAATTGAAAAAAATTAATTAGGCCCTAATCTATAGATTTCACATGATTGGGCAGGGGCGCAGCCATGGGTGGGCCTGGGAGGGCATAGGCCCACCCACAGCCAATCAGAATACGTTTTTCCCCACAAAAGGGCTTTATTACAGACAGAAATACTCCTAAATTTCATCAGCTGTCCGGGTGGCTGGTCTCATATGATCCCGCAGGTGACGAAGACAGATGTGGAGGTCCTGGGCTGGCGTGGTTACACGTTGTCTGCGGTTGTGAAGCCGGTTGGACGTACTGCCAAATTCTCTAAAACGACGTTGGGAGGCAGCTTATGGTAGAGAAATTAACATTAAGTTCTCTGGCAACAGCTCTTGTGGACATTCCTGCAGTCAGCATGCCAATTGCATGCTCCCTCAAAACTTGAGACATCTGTGGCATTGTGTTGTGTGACAAAACTGCACATTTTAGAGTGGCCTTTTATTGTCCCCAGCACAAGGTGCACCTGTGTAATGATCATGCTGTTTAATCAGCTTCTTGATATGCCACACCTGTCAGGATCATATTGGCAAAGGATAAATGCTAACTAACAGGGATGTAAACACATTTCTGCACAAAATATGAGAGAAATAATATTTTTGTGAATGTGGAACATTTCTGGGATCTTTTATTTCTGCTCATGAAGCATGGGGCCAATGCTTTACATGTTGCGTTTATATTTTTGTTCAGTATAGTTTAAATTTAGTTCAATATACTTAACAGATACTCACACACAACACACATCAATAATATTCCAGCTATTACAGTGATTTTACACTGCTAAGAGTTAATATTATTGTACATTTATGGCGTGTTAACAATTATGAAAATATAGTTTTTTTTACTTCCTGCTTTTACTTCCTGCTTTGCTCCTATGGGTACACTTGCAGTGGCCGCCAGTCCAGCCATTATGCCATCATTGACTTGAATGGGGACTCCTTTTCTATTCATGATTTTTCTATGTGTACAGTATTAGTTATTCACAAAGGAAGGCTCAATCAACAAGAATGGAGTCCTTGGGAGTGACCAGGTTTTCCCACATAAGAAAATACTACAGTTTACTATAGAGTACTACAGTACTTACTATATAATTCTATAGTAAATGGTAGTATACTGTAGAATACTATACTACACACTTGTATCCCTCGATCATGTGTAGTACTTACTGTAGAATGTTGTAGGATACCGTAGAATACGATAGTATTATCTGCACAAAAAAACACTAGTAAATACTACAGTAATTTCAGCAAAAACACTGCAGTCCACCAAAACACTATACTTTTAACTATATACCCTGCCCATTCTCCTCCCCCATATCATTGTTTTGTGCCAACCATAACTGGGAAACCTACATGCCATGTATAGACCATATTGTTTTCCCTACAGGTTATAGAAGAGAGCAGAAGCTCTGAACTATCAGACCCCAGTCCTACCTGTCTGTCTGTCTGTCTGTCTGTCTGTCTGTCTGTCTGTCTGTCTGTCTGTCTGTCTGTCTGTCTGTCTGTCTGTCTGTCTGTCTGTCTGTCTGTCTGTCTGTCTGTCTGTCAGTTATGGAACATTTGGTCTTTTATTATTTCTCCAGTAGGTTTCTTGAAGGAGAAAGCCTCCACTTCTATGTCAAAGATAATAAAACAAAAACACTATAGTATTTACTACAGTCCTCATAAAACACTACAGTAAGTACTATAGTGTACTACAGTCCGCAGAAACACTACAGTAAATACTACAGAATACTGCAGTCCGCAAAAACTCTACAGTAAATACTACAGAATACTGCAGTCCGCAAAAACACTACAGCAAATATAGTACAGTCCGCAAAAACACTACAGGATACTACAATCTGAAAAAACACTACAGTAATTACTATAGTATATACTAGTTTTCTTTTACTACAGTATTTATACTATAGTTAACTGTAAATAGTACAGTAAATACTACAGTATTTTTGCGGACTGTAGTGTTTTTGCGGAATACTACAGTAAAGTCCGCAAAAACACTACAGTGAATACTATAGTATTTATACTGTAATATACAGTGGGGAAAAAAAGTATTTAGTCAGCCACCAATTGTGCAAGTTCTCCCACTTAAAAAGATGAGAGAGGCCTGTCATTTTAATCATAGGTACACGTCAACTATGACAGACAAATTGAGAATTTTTTTCTCCAGAAAATCACATTGTAGGATTTTTAATGAATTTATTTGCAAATTATGGTGGAAAATAAGTATTTGGTCACCTACAAACAAGCAAGATTTCTGTCTCTCACAGACCTGTAACTTCTTCTTTAAGAGGCTCCTCTGTCCTCCACTCGTTACCTGTATTAATGGCACCTGTTTGAACTTGTTATCAGTATAAAAGACACCTGTCCACAACCTCAAACAGTCACACTCCAAACTCCACTATGGCCAAGACCAAAGAGCTGTCAAAGGACACCAGAAACAAAATTGTAGACCTGCACCAGGCTGGGAAGACTGAATCTGCAATAGGTAAGCAGCTTGGTTTGAAGAAATCAACTGTGGGAGCAATTATTAGGAAATGGAAGACATACAAGACCACTGATAATCTCCCTTGATCTGGGGCTCCACGCAAGATCTCACCCCGTGGGGTCAAAATGATCACAAGAACGGTGAGCAAAAATCCCAGAACCACACGGGGGGACCTAGTGAATGACCTGCAGAGAGCTGGGACCAAAGTTACAAAGCCTACCATCAGTAACACACTATGCCGCCAGGGACTCAAATCCTGCAGTGCAAGACGTGTCCCCCTGCTTAAGCCAGTACATGTCCAGGCCCGTCTGAAGTTTGCTAGAGTGCATTTGGATGATCCAGAAGAGGATTGGTAGAATGTCATATGGTCAGATGAAACCAAAATATAACTTTTTGGTAAAAACTCAACTCGTCGTGTTTGGAGGACAAAGAATGCTGAGTTGCATCCAAAGAACACCATACCTACTGTGAAGCATGGGGGTGGAAACATCATGCTTTGGGGCTGTTTTTCTGCAAAGGGACCAGGACAACTGATCCGTGTAAAGGAAAGAATGAATGGGGCCATGTATCGTGAGATTTTGAGTGAAAACCTCCTTCCATCAGCAAGGGCATTGAAGATGAAACGTGGCTGGGTCTTTCAGCATGACAATGATCCCAAACACACCGCCCGGGCAACAAAGGAGTGGCTTCCTAAGAAGCATTTCAAGGTCCTGGAGTGGCCTAGCCAGTCTCCAGATCTCAACCCCATAGAAAATCTTTGGAGGGAGTTGAAAGTCCGTGTTGCCCAGCGACAGCCCTAAAACATCACTGCTCTAGAGGAGATCTGCATGGAGGAATGGGCCAAAATACCAGCAACAGTGTGTGAAAACCTTGTGAAGACTTACAGAAAACGTTTGACCTGTGTCATTGCCAACAAAGGGTATATAACAAAGTATTGAGAAACTTTTTTTATTGACCAAATACTTATTTTCCACCATAATTTGCAAATAAATTCATTAAAAATCCTACAATGTGATTTTCTGGATTTTTTTTTCTCATTTTGTCCGTCATAGTTGACGTGTACCTATGATGAAAATTACAGGCCTCTCTCATCTTTTTAAGTGGGAGAACTTGCACAATTGGTGGCTGACTAAATACTTTTTCCCCCCACTGTAACAAAGTATTGAGAAACTTTTGTTATTGACCAAATACTTATTTTCCACCATAATTTGCAAATAAATTCATTAAAAATCCTACAATGTGATTTTCTGGATTTTTTTTCCTCATTTTGTCTGTCATAGTTGACGTGTACCTATGATGAAAATTACAGGCCTCTCTCATCTTTTTAAGTGGGAGAACTTGCACAATTGGTGACTGACTAAATACTTTTTTTCCCCACTGTATATATACTATAGTATTTTTTCATGTTTGTCTGTTATCTCATGCAGGTTGGACTCCTCTTCACGAGGCAGTGTCCCACGGTCACTATGAGATCAGTAAAGACCTGATCCAGACTGGAGCTCTGGTCAACTGTATTGGAGACAGTGGAACCACGCCTTTACATGATGCTGTAGTGCAGGGACACCTGCAGGTAGGTACATATACAGTACGTGTCGCTATAAACCATGGACACCTACATCCAAATAAAGTACAGAATCACTAATGTCCTTTAGCACCCAGACGGATTTAGTTTCAGTGTGTATGCATGTGTGTATGTTTGTGTGAGAGAGAGAAAGACGGAGAAATTGTATGTGTGTGCGTGTGTATTAGAGCTGGGCAATATTGACAAAAATCCATATCGCGATAAATTGACTGAATTATCACGATAAACATAAATTAAATGATAAGATTCATAAAACGACTATTACTGCTTTGAATGTTGTACCTATCAATTGTCCTTTTAACAATCATCCATATTAGCAAACTTATTTCATTTCAAACTTCACATTTCTCTATTAGGACCCTATTCATAGGTTGCAGCCTCAGTCACTCGGTCGTGTCACGTCATTGTTATGAACGTTCTCAAGCTTCCCTCTACCAGCCGCGCAATAGTGGTGTCCTAAAGTCGTGATAAAGCCCAGTCGTTCTGGACGGAGGCTAACGACTGTTTAGTATAAATTACACTATAGTGCCTGGAAATACTATGGCATTGCTAACATAGTCAAATATTTTGTAGGAAACAACTTTGCCAGCATTATCATGTTGTCAAATTTACTTTAGACAGATGGCAATGTTGTCATTAGCTAGCAAAGTACGTAAAAAATAGCTACCAATGCTAATGGTTACTAGCTAAAATCCGGTGGCCACCCCTCAATCTTAGCTAGCTAGCTATCGTTATACGACCTCTAAAGTCAATCTGGCAACATCAAAATGATGACAAGGTTTTCCTACTAATTATTTGCCTCCTTTTGAATGTCGTTGTATTTCCAAGCCACTGTAATGTACTTTTTATGAAATATTCATCAGCGCTCGTTGACGATGCATTGAGTAGAATGCTCAGTCGGGCATTAGTCCAAAACTAACATTTAAAAAAAAATATTGTGACGGAACATGCAACCCATGAATAGGTTATTTATCGTAATGAACGATATCAGCAAAATGTTCACGATAAGTGGTCAGGTTGGTCGGTGTCGAAACATTTCAGTTTATCGTCCCAGCTCTAGTATGCATGCGTGTGTTTGCAAGTGTGAGCGTTACCTCTGTAAATATCATACTAGGTCAGCTGTGGTTTTGCTGTGTGTGTCCCAGATAGCAGAGCTGCTGTTGAAGCACGGGGCAGACCCTCTACTGAAGAACAACAACGGGCAGACAGCCTATAGCAACACCACAGAACCCTCTCTGATCAAACTCATGGAGAACAACATCCCCAAGAACAAGAGAAAGGCACTAGCAGGTCTGGACCTTTCCATAAACTAACACCTTCTGTTGTTTCTTTGGTTTAGGTTTCTACCACATGTTTTGCTATTGTGTATATTATTTCATGGTAAAGCTATATTGTTCTAGGCCTGGGTGAGTTTCCTAAAAGCTTCGTAGCGCTGTCATCTTTGGTCCATTGACAAGGTGATCTTAGTCCTGTTCTGTTCTGTTCTGTTTGTCCTAGCTCCAACAAGACGACCTGCAGACTCGTCCCAACTCAGCCCGTCCCAAAGTGGAACAGAGAGGAAGCTCAGGAGGTTAGCAGCACAGGCAGATCAGACCAGCACTGACCAGGAGAGATACCAGCAGAGATGCACAACAACCAGGTCTGAAACCAGCAACACTGACCAGCAGAGACGCACAACAACCAGGCCTGAAACCAGCAACACTGACCAGCAGAGACGCACAACAACCAGGCCTGAAACCAGCAACACTGACCAGCAGAGACGCACAACAACCTCTCCTAAAGGTACTTGAACCAGGTGTATGTGTGTGTGTCTGTAAAAACAGTCATGTGTATGTATGGGCTGTAGTGCTCTTTCTATCTCCTCCTGTCTCTCTGTCCAATACAACTGAAGACTGGTTCACATCTCTCCTCCTCAGGCAGACTAAAACCCCAGCCCCCTGTACTACAGTCATTTACATTTACATTTTAGTCATTTAGCAGACGCTCTTATCCAGAGCGACTTACAGTTAGTGAGTGCATACATTTGTTTTCATACTGGCCCCCCGTGGGAATCGAACCCACAACCCTGGCGTTGCAAGCGCCATGCTCTACCAACTGAGCTACACGGGACCCTAGATGTAGGCCAACCCAACCCTTTCCTGTTACTTTTCCTGTCTGTATGTAGGCCAACCCTTTCCTGTTACATTTCCTGTCTGTATTTAGGATAGTCATGTATTCTGCCCTGTACTAGTCCCCATCATAGAACTAGCATTACTAGGACGGACATTCTACCATTCTCCATTGAGTGTACTCATGAGTGTACCAACCAGTCAAATCACTATTGGGCTTTGTAGTTTCTAGTGATTCGATTTATATGGTCCTCACACAGACCTGGCCACCAGAATAACCTCTCCTCCCCCTCCTCCTCCTCGCCCTCAACCAATCCCAGAGGTCCTGAGGAGAAGGAGTCCGCTCTATGTCCCCAACCCTGACCCAGAGGTACAAGGAGAGGACAGTGTTGCTATTAGTGACAGCGAGCGCATCGAACCAGAGGTACAAGGAGAGGACAGTGTTGCTATTAGTGACAGCGAGAGTGACGAGACCATTGACTATACAGGAGAGGTTTTTAACTTCTCATCGGATGAAACAGAAGACTGGACTCATGAAACCACGCTGGAGTACTATAGAGAGGGAGCTGTGAGGAGCAGGGAGGACTCTGCTTGAGCTGGATTATAGCTTGTTGTTGTTGTTGTTGTGTTTTGTCTATGACATCAAATTTGTTGTTTTGTTTCATCTATTGTCCCAGTTGAAACTGTAACGAAAATCTTTCTCAGTCTGATCAATGTTGATCATATTGAATTCAAAGTTTTTTTAAATTAATTCAGTTTTATCTTGTGTTTTGTATTTAAAGATTATGTACATGTTTGTTGAGTATATTTTCTCTCAGAGTTATTTTTCCACAAAGAATACCTTTAAACATTAATTGAAGGGATTATGTTTGTGACATTGGGATAATATATTGTATAATATGTACAGTGAGGGGAAAAAAGTATTTGATCCCCTGCTGATTTTGTACGTTTGCCCACTGACAAAGAAATGATCAATCTATAAATGTAATGGTAGATTTATTTGAACAGTGAGAGACAGAATAACAACAAAAAAATCCAGAAAAATGCATGTCAAAAATGTTATAAATTGATTTGCATTTTAATGAGGAAAATAAGTATTTGACCCCCTCTCAATCAGAAAGATTTCTGTCTCCCAGGTGTCTTTTATACAGGTAATGAGCTGAGATTAGGAGCACACTCTTAAAGGGAGTGCTCCTAATCTCAGTTTGTTACCTGTATAAAAGACACCTGTCCACAGAAGCAATCAATCAATCAGATTCCAAACTCTCCACCATGGCCAAGACCAAAGAGCTCTCCAAGGATGTCAGGGACAAGATTGTAGACCTACACAAGGCTGGAATGGGCTACAAGACCATCGCCAAGCAGCTTGGTGAGAAGGTGACAACAGTTGGTGCGATTATTCGCAAATGGAAGAAACACAAAAGATCTGTCAATCTCCCTCGGCCTGGGGCTCCATGCAAGATCTCACCTCGTGGAGTTGTAATGATCATGAGAACGGTGAGGAATCATCCCAGAACTACACGGGAGGATCTTGTCAATGATCTCAAGGCAGCTGGGTGTCACGATCGTCAGGGAGAGACCAATGCGCAGCGTTGAAGGTGAACATATTTATTAAATGATCACACGATCAAAACAACAAACGAAAACGTGACGTCTACGGTTTAAACACCAACCAACACGAACAAGAAACCACAAACACAAAGGAAAAGACAGACAGTTTAAATATGGCTCCCAATCAGAGACAACCAGCTGACACTCGTTGCCTCTGATTGGGAGTCACTCAGGCCAACATAGAAATACAAACTAGACCCACAACCTACAACACAAAACATAGAAACTAACACCCTGGCTCAACATACGAGAGTCCCCCGAGCCAGGGCGTGACAGTACCCCCCCCTAAAGGGCGCCAACCAAACACAACAGGGGAGGGACCGGGTGGGCACTCCGCCTAGGCGGCGGATCCGGCTCCGGGCATGATCCCCACTCGCTCTCTAACCCCCCAAAGTACCCCTGGTCCGGTCTGGCCCTGCTGACCGGAGCTGGACTGCACACTGGTGGAGCGGATTGCTCTAGCTCCGGCGTGAAGCAGCTGACCCGTGCCGAACCAGGCACCAGTGGAACAGGCACGGGCTGTGCCGGACTGACGACGCACACCACTGGCTTGGTGCGGGGAGCAGGAACGGGCCGAACCGGGCTGACGAAGCGCACCATTGACTTGGTGCGGGGAGCAGGAACGGGCCGAACCGGGCTGACGAAGCGCACCACTGACTTGGTGCGGGGAGCAGGAACGGGCCGAACCGGGCTGACGAAGCACACCACTGACCTGGTGCGGGGAGCAGGAACGGGCCGAGCCGGGCTGACGAAGCGCACCACTGACTTGGTGCGGGGAGCAGGAACAGGCCGGACCGTACTGGGGACACACACCACTGGTCCTACGCCGGGATCTGGAACGGGCCGGACCGGACTGGCAACACACCCCAGTACCTCTCGCCGTGCCTCTCCACCTTCCATCCCCTCTTCGACCAGTGGCCCCCGTAACCTGGCGGCCTCCTCTGCCAACCCGCTGCACCGCTCTATCGCGGCCTCCTGCTGCCCCGACGTCGTGAGCCCCCCCCTAAAAATTTTCTGGGGGTCTCTCCTCCCCGTGGGCCAGGCCTCTATCGTTCTCGCCCAACTCTCGCTCCTCTGTCTCCAACTCCCGCTATTCAGCTCCTCAATGGGCTTGACCCAGTCGAAGCTCTTCCTCAACTGTTCCCAAGTCCACCCTCTCTGCTCCTCACTAGGCTTGACCCAGTCGAGGTTGCCACGGAGATCTGCTAGCGATGGCTCCTGGACACGCTGCTTGGTCTGGTTTTGGTGGTTTCTTCTGTCACGATCGTCAGGGAGAGACCAATGCGCAGCGTTGAAGGTGAACATATTTATATTTATTAAATGATCACACGATCAAAACAACAAACGAAAACGTGACGTCTACGGTTTAAACACAAACCAACACGAACAAGAAACCACAAACACAAAGGAAAAGACAGACAGTTTAAATATGGCTCCCAATCAGAGACAACCAGCTGACACTCGTTGCCTCTGATTGGGAGTCACTCAGGCCAACATAGAAATACAAACTAGACCCACAACCTACAACACAAAACATAGAAACTAACACCCTGGCTCAACATACGAGAGTCCCTCGAGCCAGGGCGTGACACTGGGACCATAGTCACCAAGAAAACAATTGGTAACACACTACGCCGTGAAGGACTGAAATCCTGCAGCGCCCACAAGGTCCCCCTACTTAAGAAAGCACATACACAGGCCCGTCTGAAGTTTGCCAATGAACATCTGAACGATTCAGAGGAGAACTGGGTGAAGTGTTGTGGTCAGATGAGACCAAAATCGAGCTCTTTGGCATCAACTCAACTCGCCGTGTTTGGAGGAGGAGGAATGCTGCCTATGACCCCAAGAATACCATTCCCACCGTCAAACATGGAGGTGGAAACATTATGCTTTGGGGGTGTTTTTCTGCTAAGGGGACAGGACAACTTCAGCGCATCAAAGGGACGATGGACGGGGCCATGTACCGTCAAATCTTGGGTGAGAACCTCCTTCCCTCAGCCAGGGCATTGAAAATGGGTTGTGGATGGGTATTCCAGCATGACAATGACCCAAAACACACGGCCAAGGCAACAAAGGAGTGGCTCAAGAAGAAGCACATTAAGGTCCTGGAGTCTCCAGACCTTAATCCCATAGAAAATCTGTGGAGGGAGCTGAAGGTTCGAGTTGCCAAACGCCAGCCTCGAAACCTTAATGACTTGGAGAAGATCTGCAAAGAGGAGTGGGACAAAATCCCTCCTGAGATGTGTGCAAACCTGGTGGCCAACTTCAAGAAACGTCTGACCTCTGTGATTGCCAACAAGGGTTTTGCCACCAAGTACTAAGTCATGTTTTGCAGAGGGGTCAAATACTTATTTCCCTCATTAAAATGCAAATCAATTTATAACATTTTTGACATGCGTTTTTCTGGATTTGTTTGTTATTCTGTCTCTCACTGTTCAAATAAACCTACCATTACAACTATAGTGTCACGCCCTGGCTCTGGGGACTTTTATATGTTGAGCCAGGGTGTTAGTTTCTATGTGTTAGTTTCTGGGTGTTAGGTTCTATGTTTCGTTTTCTATGTTCTTGTTCTAGTTTATGTGTTTCTATGTTGGCCGGGGTGGTTCCCAATTAGAGACAGCTGTGGCTCGTTGTCTCTGATTGGGAACCATACTTAGGCAGCCTGTTGTGCACTTGTCTTTTGTGAGATCTTGTTCCGTGTAGGTTTGTGTTTATGACCGAGGACTTCACGTTTCGTTTTGTTGTTTTGTAAATTGTTGTTAATAGTACTCAATAAAAGAAAAACTGTAGTACCGTATTTTCCGCACTATAAGGCGCACCGGAGTATAAGCCGCAGCAGCTAAATTGAATGATATTGAATGATGTGTACATATATAAGCCGCACTGGACTATAAGCCGCAGGTGTTTTAATGTTTAATTACCATATGTAAGGGTTCGTGCACAGAGGGGATTGTCGGGAAAGAGACAAACTGTCTCGCTCTCGTAATGTCTGTCTGTCTTGCTCTCGTTCTGTCTCTCGTTCTGTCTCTCGTACCACTCTCGGTTCCACTTTTACTTTTGCGCGCTACCTGTCTCACTCTTTTCCTGCCTCCAGCTTTTCCTGCTGGAGCCCACCGCTTAAAGGTGGGGGGGGCGCGGACCGGTCATAGAGCCCATAGAGTTAAAGTTGGTGGACTGTAACCTGTAAAATCCATAGATTTAGGAGGTCTTCTAGTGGCCGTTAGCTGTAAAAATCCATAGATTAGCCGCACCGTTATATAAGCCGCAGGGTCGAAAAATGGGAAAAAAGGCGCGGCTGATAGTCCGAAAATTACGGTATTTTTTGTAAAGAAGCTACAGTAGTAGCTGTTACAATTAAATACTTTTTTGTAAAAGTATGACAAAGTATCTTATTTATTTGTAAGCTCACGTTCAACGTTGCTCCTTCTATTGTATCATAAAACTTGTTCATGTTAACAGAGATCATCCTGAAATTATAAAGTGCTTTTTTGCAATTAAAGTTGACATACTCCTTCGTCAAATGTTGGTAATTTTCTGCAATTAAACACAACACTTGACACCTACATTGCTTAACCCTTTTTAAACTCTGGAACGGCGGTGATAAATTGATTGACTGATTGATTGACAGACTTGTTTATTAAAGTGTTCTGCACCATTTCAGATGGCCAGCCAGTAGGGGTTTTTGGTTCTACCAAACCATCTATTTGGAGTTTTCCATTAATGAGGTGTTCTGTGCTCAGTTGCAGGGGTCTTGAGAGAGAAAGAGGAGCCTCATGGTGATGGCTCTACTGGTCCAAGCCAACCACTACCTTCTGTCCAGGATGGGAGGCAGTCTAGAGCACCAACTATGAAGAGGAACCTGGATGACCAGGCAGGGGAAGAAGACCCAAGGCCTAATCACGCCATTTTATCAGACACATCCACACCCAGAAAAGTCATTAAACGCATCACCACCAAACGGAAGGATATATTTGATTTGCTCCTGCAGAGCAACCCGTTCGACCTGGACAGTGTTCTACTGGCGGCCCAGACAGGAAATGGTCAGGCGACAACAGGAAGTCATCATGACTCTGTTGATTCAGTTGTGTTGAGAAGTCGAAGCACAGATTTCCTGCTGGGGACAGCAGATTTCAGAGGAAAGGAGGGAGGAAGGGAAAGGAAAACAGAAAAACAGGAAGTGATGAAACCCTCACAACGCCAGAGAGAGGAGCTAATTCTAACTCCAGATGGGCATCTCTCCCAGCATACTGACCACTGCCAGAGCCAGAGAGAGGAGCTAATTCTAACTCCAGATGGGCATCTCTCCCAGCATACTGACCACTGCCAAAGCCAGAGAGAGGAGCTAACTCTAACTCTAGATGGGCATCTCTCCCAGCATACTGACCACTGCCAAAGCCAGAGAGAGGAGCTAACTCTAACTCTAGATGGGCATCTCTCCCAGCATACTGACCACTGCCAGAGCCAGAGAGAGGAGCTAACTCTAACTCTAGATGGGCATCTCTCCCAGCATACTCACCACTGCCAAAGCCAGAGAGAGGAGCTAATTCTAACTCTAGATGGGCATCTCTCCCAGCATACTGACCACTGCCAAAGCCAGAGAGAGGAGCTAACTCTAACTCTAGATGGGCATCTCTCCCAGCATACTCACCACATAGATGTAGCAGGGTTCAATCTAGGTGAATATCTAAATCTCAACCCAACAAAGAATACTGACAAATACCAACACAACACAATCTGTGCAGAGGAAACCAGTCAAAACCCTGACCAGAATACATGTCCTGAAGCCTTAGTGCCGCTAGCTGGAGAGGATGCCACAAGAAACAGCATTTCCAGCGATAGGTCAAAGGTCACCCTCACCCACCGACCTGCTAGGCCAGTGATTGACCCCATTGACCTGAGCCTAATGGACCAGGATGACACCCGCTGTACCCTTATAGACAACCTCTCACCTGTTGAACACCTGTCCCTGTCCAGAGCACCTGTCCCTTTGGAAACCACTGACGCTGTGAATGTCTGTGTGGCTGGGAGTTCATCTCCATTTACTGGTGATCAGTGTAAGCTAGACAATGCTCTCCTGTCCGAGGAAGACTTGGAGGAGCAGTGTAGCGTGAGTCTTCTTCCTACAACAACAACACACCTGGATGTCACAAGACAAGCTTCCGTTGTTGACGGTAACGAGAAGCAGACACAACCAGTCGAGGTGCCATCAGCGATGGATGATGATGAATATCTTGGCTCTTGCAACACCAGCTCTCCATCCCTCCTAGTGGCTGAGGAGCTCCACGGCCCTGTGGGGATATCAGAATGTACAGAGACCAATATCAATACACTGTTTATGCCTAGAGCAAGTCAAATCCCCAAAGCTTCTCCCATTGGATCAGATGTTGGTTTAAAAGCCAACCTGCTTAGACGCACTGGTCTCGATCTCCAGCTGACTGGAAACAGACTGGACAGAGAGACCACGGCTGCTGTGACTAGTAGAGACGGTGAGAGGTGTCGTATTGATGGTGGACAACGTGAGGGACGCTTTGTAACACACAGAGAGTCTAGAGACACTGATGCTTCTACTACTGACAAGACTAAAGACGATGACGCTGACCGCTTCGCTGACTCTGACTGCACCGTGGTCTCTGAACTGGACCGCGCAGAGACAGAGAGCAATGATCTGGGACAAGTTGAAAAGGAGGAGGTGGAGAAAGCTCACGTTCAACTTGATTCAGAAGCGACAATTGGTTCCTTTCAAGATCAAGTGAGAGGAGTAGAAAACCAAACCCCCGGGACTGAAGATGAGGCTTTAGAGAGTAGAGGCAAGGTAGAAGAGGAGCAGACTGCTGATGCTTTAGATACAGTAATAGATTACACTGAAGATCAGGCTTTAGATACAGTAATAGATTACACTGAAGATCAGGCTTTAGATACAGTAATATATTACACTGAAGATCAGGCTTTAGATACAGTAATATATTACACTGAAGATCAGGCTTTAGATACAGTAATAGATTACACTGAAGATCAGGCTTTAGATACAGTAATAGATTACACTGAAGATCAGGCTTTAGATACAGTAATAGATTACACTGAAGATCAGGCTTTAGATACAGTAATAGATTACACTGAAGATCAGGCTTTAGATACAGTAATATATTACACTGAAGATCAGGCTTTAGATACAGTAATAGATTACACTGAAGATCAGGCTTTAGATACAGTAATAGATTACACTAAAGATCAGGCTTTAGATACAGTAATAGATTACACTGAAGATCAGGCTTTAGGTACAGTAATAGATGACTCTGAGGCGTGTGAGATGAATGGTGATGGATCTACTACTACTGTAATGGAGGGCTCCACTGGCCTGTTACCCGCTATAGATGACTGCCAAGCTAGAGACGACATGAGGGAAGATGAACCAGAGATCAACACTATGCAAAGTGACGCGGGCAGCGCCACACACCACAACAGCTCCAGTCAACACAAGAGGAAAGCCAAGATCAGTAGAGCCAGACCTGGCAAGAGGCAGGCCAAGCTGTTGTTGAAACCAAAGCCAAAGCCAAACCCTTGGGCGTCGCAAAACACCAGCACTCGCACTAGTTACACAACCGATGGTGCTGATACCTCATCTAGTTCAGGTATTGGAATATTGTATTTGTGGATAGATTCACTTTTTCAACATTGTTAATTGATTCATAGATATAACGGCAAACCGATAGTAAAATAAAATCTTGCATCAAATAGAACATCTTAGATAATTCAGTGTTCTGTGGTTTTCCCGTTGTTGTCCCCTTGATCAATCATATTTTATTCATATTTCATACATATTTTATTTATGTCCTCATTTTTCTATCAATGTTTTATCAGTAGTTAGCATGCCTGGCACAAAGATTCCCTTGAGGAATCTCCACAAGAGAAACCGCATGGGAGAGAGCCACCTTCACCTGGCATGCAAGAAAGGAGACCTGGCTCTAGTGAGAGGCCTTATTGAAGCAGGTTTAAATGTCAACCAGATAGATCACGCAGGTTTGTAACAGCCCAGACTAAACTATTTCATTTTGATCAACCTTTATTCTAGCAGGGTGTCATTGAAACCAAGTCTCTTTTTCAAACGAGCCCTGCACAATATAAAAACACACATCAATACAAAACTATTAAAACGCAATAAATTATTAAATTACAAAACATCTCTGGTCAGATAAACGGTTGCTTTCATTGGTAGTCCCGTGTAGCTCAGTTGGTAGAGCATGGCGCTTGTAACTCCAGGGTTGTGGGTTCGATTCCCACGGGGGACCAGTATGAAGGAAATGTTTGTATTATGCACTCACTAACTGTAAGTCGCTCTGAATAAGAGCGTCTGCTAAATGACTAAAATGTAATTGGCCAGTACTGTACTAGTAAAATGACAACCTTCTTTTCATGTAAAATCTAACTGATCCCCAACATAGTCCCTATTTTCTTTCTAAACCAGTGCTCCTTTACTATTGTTTTAGTGTTGTGTCTTTCTCTATGTCCATTAATACACTGAGTTACACTTTAAATTAATATTCATTAATCCTTTTAACCCCTTATAACTGTTTGTAAATGACAACTAATGCTTTATGAATGCTTATAATGCATCGTAACCTGCCTGTGTGTGTGTGCCAGGCTGGACGGCGCTGCATGAGGCCAGTGCTTCAGGCTCCGAGGCTGTGGTCAAGGAGCTACTGCAGGCTGGGGCAGACGTCACCTGTAGAGGTCTGGAGGGCCTCTCTGCTCTGCATGATGCTGCTGCCTCAGGACACTACGAGGTAGGCTACACACACACACACACACTGATTGATAGGATTGACTGACTTGGTGGCTTACTAACGTTGATTATGTACGATGAACTGACACTGGTGTGTGTATTGTATGCCCGTTGAGAATCAGACGTCAAGTTATTCCCAACTTCCCAACTTCAACTATACCCTGATGAAGACAGCTTGTCTGTCAAAACGTTGGTTATTAGGTTATTAAATTATTGCATCTGAGCTAATAGAGTGTGAGGCTCTCCTATTATTTTTCCAAGTGTTCTACTCTGCTAGCCAGCACCTCTCCTAAACAGGTGTTCTACTCTGCTAGCCAGCACCTCTCCTAAACAGGTGTTCTACTCTGCTAGCCAGCACCTCTCCTAAACAGGTGTTCTACTCTGTTACCCAGCACATCTCCTAAACAGGTGTTCTACTCCGCTAGCCAGCACATCTCCTAAACAGGTGTTCTACTCCGCTAGCCAGCACCTCTCCTAAACAGGTGTTCTACTCTGCTAGCCAGCACCTCTCCTAAACAGGTGTTCTACTCCGCTAGCCAGCACCTCCCCTAAACAGGTGTTCTACTCTGCTAGCCAGCACCTCTCCTAAACAGGTGTTCTACTCTGCTAGCCAGCACCTCTCCTAAACAGGTGTTCTACTCCGTTAGCCAGCACCTCTCCTAAACAGGTGTTCTACTCTGTTACCCAGCACCTCTCCTAAACAGGTGTTCTACTCTGCTAGCCAGCACCTCTCCTAAACAGGTGTTCTACTCCGCTAGCCAGCACCTCTCCTAAACAGGTGTTCTACTCTTTTAGCCAGCACCTCTCCTAAACAGGTGTTCTACTCCGCTAGCCAGCACCTCTCCTAAACAGGTGTTCTACTCTGTTACCCAGCACCTCTCCTAAACAGGTGTTCTACTCTGTTACCCAGCACCTCTCCTAAACAGGTGATCTACTCCGCTAGCCAGCACCTCTCCTAAACAGGTGTTCTACTCCGCTAGCCAGCACCTCTCCTAAACAGGTGTTCTACTCCGCTAGCCAGCACCTCTCCTAAACAGGTGTTCTACTCCGTTAGCCATCACCTCTCCTAAACAGGTGTGCGTTTCTTTCGCCTCTGTATTATTCCCAACTTCATGTCTGACTATATAGTGCCCTTCTGAATGTATTTTTAGTGAATTGTGTGTTTCATCATCATCAACATTTCTATCATATATTGTTTGATAATGTGAGGCTAAAATGTTGATCCCGATGAGACCCTCAGGTAGTGGAGCTCCTTCTCCAGTATGGATCAAACCCCCAAGACAAGAACGCTCTGGGCCAGACCGCTGTGGACCTAGCCTGCCACGACGACATCAAACAACTCCTTTCCACATTCCAGGGCCCTTTTGTCCAACGTGAGCAGCCCAGCGAAGCACCTAAACACAAGCATGGTTAGCTGCAGCCCAATATGGCGACCGGATAATGGGCGAGTGGGTGTGTGGAAAGCGATTCAGCTAATTGGGCAGATTTGTTGCCACTCAAGACTGTTTTGCGTTGCTGATTGGGTTGCACAAAGAGTCGATAAGCCGGCGACCAGTGCACCGGTGTTGTATGGACATGCCTGCCGACCTGAGACCTGACCGTGATACCCAGTAGGAAGCTTCCAACCTGGTAGCACAGTCGTGTCGCCGGAGTAGCTAACGTGACCATGTTTTTCCCTCCCATGATTTTATTTAAAGTAGGATAGCAGCCTACACAATAAATAATTAATATTGATAACCATCTAGATGTCACTTTGATTCATGCACATACAGTCTACTCAATGGGGAGGGCATGAACGGCAACAACACCGGGACACAGTGACCTTTGCTCCTGTTTGACAAGCTCTACTGTCCGGCAACGGCATGGGAAGTAGCTACCTAGTATCAGGGTGACGGTCACAGAAAGCACACGCATACAGTGCATGAAGCAACTGTACACCCATTATCAGTACTTTTAATTTAAACATATAATAACTCTTCAGTTTTATAACTGAAAATGTACAATTATTTGTGTAAACGAACAGTGAAATACGACTCAGACTCATTCTCTGGCTTCAAAACATTAGTCTAATCTCTCGCGGTATGGTAGCTCAATGTATGGTAGTTGCAAGGTAAGAAACGGACACATTCCCAGCCTGCCTCTTCTGAGATATATATAGTACAGGTGAGACTGAGAGAAGCCACGATGCTGCAATATTGATTAGAGGGTACGTTGACAAAAGTTAAATGGTATATTTTTAGGGCTCATTGACAGGTCGGTAGTGCATTTTTAGTCCTATTCGGCTGTTACTATCAAATTTGACAACATCACTTTATTGATCATAAATATAATCACTGTGATTAAGATAAGACTTGGACACACAACAGGTTTTACAATAAAGAGCAGGAGTGGGGTCAAATGAGGTCAGTTAATTCAGGAAGTTATATAAAAAATAATTTGAACAACTTTTTAAATAAATAGGTTCTCCTTTTCAGTTTATTAAGAAGTCATTGAAAATGTTTACAAAATATATATAATTAAGTCAAATTGTCAGTTTACTTCTTGAATTGACTGTCTTCAATTTGAATTGTCCCCAACCCTGATAAAGAAACATAGAGTTAGTAGCAACTCTTAACAATTTCAGTTGTCCATGACTTGAGAGAATGTGGTATGTATCCATTCAGGAAGTGCTGTGCCTTCTGAGAGGCCCTCTGAGAGGCCCTCTAAGCAATGTGTCTCTGAGTCTGGGTCTGAGGGTCGCTGCAGGAGGAAGCCAGCTGGCCCAAGCTGTTTCTGCTGTGAGGGCGACAGGGAAAGACGCAAAGCCAGACGCACAGGTGTCAGGGATACAGACGGAGACGGACAGCCAGGAGACAAAGAACGAGACGGGCAGCCTGGTGACATTCAGCCCAGACAGAAAGACAGCACCACTGAGACAGTCAAAGTAAAATACACAGCTCTGAAAGTTGTAGACTAAATACTAACATCAACATCAACCAGAGTTCCTTCTTTAGGAATTTCTTTGAGAGAGAGAAAAAAATTGAATATTTGAACGAGTACAACATGTTTCAATGTAAAGATATCTAGCATTGGGTTGGATTCTGTGTCTAGTCAAATCGAAGTTGATTGGTTGTGTACACAGTTTGGCAGATTTGATAGTGCTTGCAGCCAAATGTTTATGTTACTAGTTCCTAACAATGCAGTAAATGTCAAATAAATAAAACATCTTCAAATGTCAGAATGAATCCCAATGAACCCAAGTGGCACTGTAACAATAATTCAAATGCAATTTAGTCAGGTTAAAATTAGTCATTTGAAAATATTGGAACATTTGATATGTTAAATAAGATCCCTTTGATGTTGTTTCTCCAGCTGAATCACTCTGAAGCTATCACTACAGCTCTGGAGGAAGTGGAGAGAAAACAGGAGGAAATGTCAACCTGGAAATTAAATAAGTCAGAGGACGCAGGTAAAAACAGCAGAAGGCAAACTGTTAAGGAGGCTTGATGCAGACACTTTCGTTCAGTATTGGCTTGAAATCACACACCACGAGGATTTGAATAGTCCTTCAAAATGTTCTCTCACACAAACCTCTCTGGATATGTCTATGTAATGTTTATTCAACAACAGTTCTGGTGGGAAAACAAGGCCCATATCCACAAAGCGGCGTAAGTGATAATAACAGAGACGTTTTACTCCTACTCTCATGGGTAAAACAAAAGCTATGCATGAAGCCTCTTTAGTCATAAGAGCACTATAGTCAACAGATATTTAGGACACCTCAAGAGCTGTCTTAACCAGTTAAGAGTTACCAGCACATGCCTTGATAAGAGAACAATGCAGTCAGTGGTTCCTGCTCCACATGCAATTGCTTTTGAGTTGTAAAAATGACGTTTTGATATTTGGATTTTGATCAATCCGTAAATAATCTTTCATGCAACAGTATCTCTTGCGCTTTTGACAATGATTTCACATGAGGCCTATTTCACATGATATGCCTAAATACTTAAAACCACTAGACTAATAAATTAAAATGTTTTTCTTTCGATTATTTAATTACCTACAGCATGTTTATTTTAAGTTATCCCTTTGGAGCGCAACATCACGTTGTTAAAAAATATGCCTAAATTGGGCATGCCTATAAATTGGGCAATTGAAGGCATCTAGCTGGCTTATGTTAACTTTGATTGTGTTGATGAAAATGATAGGCCTTTCAAACGTTGTACGCAACATTATCAGCAAGTGACTTAACGCCTGCTTTGCCAACGCGATTTAGAGCTGTTAAGCGGGAGTGACGAGTGTGTTGATAGAACGTTAGTATTGTCAAAATTCCGCTTTGAACAACCTTCAGAATTGGTTACGAAGATATAAATAAATAAATACGCACGCCAACATATTAGGCAATAGTTAAGAGTAGGCAAAGTGATGGTGTCAGGCGAAAATTATATCAAACGTTTTACCATTGTAACATTTGATGTCTGAAGCGTGCTATAAAGTGGCTTGTGAAAGTATTCACCCCCTTGGCATTTTTCCTATTTTGTTGCCTTACAACCTGGAATTAAACATTTTGGGAGGGTTTGTATCATTTGATTTACACAACATGCCTACCACTTTGAAGATGTAAAATATTTTTTGGGGTGAAACAAACAAGAAATAAGACCAAAAAAAACCAGAAAACTTGAGCGTGCATAACTATTCACCCCCCCCAAAGTCAATACTTTGTAGGGCCACCTTTTGCAGCAATTACAGCTGCAAGTCTTTTGGGGTATATCTCTATAAGCTTGGCACATCTAGCCACTGGGATTTTTGCCCATTCTTCAAGGCAAAACTGCTCCAGCTCCTTCAAGTTGGATGGGTTCCGCTGGTGTACAGCAATCTTTAAGTCATACCACAGATTCTCAATTGGATTGAGGTCTGGGCTTTGACTAGGCCATTCCAAGACATTTAAATGTTTCCCCTTAAACCACTCCAGTGTTGCTTTAGCAGTATGCTTAGGGTCATTGTCCTGCTGGAAGGTGAACCTCCGTCCCAGTCTCAAATCTCTGGAAGACTGAAACAGGTTTCCCTCAAGAAGTTTCCTTTATTTAGCGCCATCCATCATTCCTTCAATTCTGACCAGTTTCCCAGTCCCTGCCGATGAAAAACATCCCCACAGCATGATGCTGCCACCACCGTGTTCTCGGAGTGATGAGAGGTGTTGGGTTTGCGCCAGACATAGCGTTTTCCTTGATGACCAAAAAGCTCAATTTTAGTCTCATCTGACCAGAGTACCTTCTTCCATATGTTTTGGGAGTCTCCCACATGCCTTTTGGCGAACACCAAACTTGTTTGCTTATTTTTTTCTTTAAGCGATTGCTTTTTTCTGGCCACTCTTCCATAAAGCCCAGCTCTGTGGAGTGTATGGCTTAAAGTGGTCCTATGGACAGATACTCCAAACTCCGCTGTGGAGCTTCAAAGCTCCTTCAGGGTTATCTTTGGTCTCTTTGTTGCCTCTCTGATTAATGCCCTCCTTGCCTGGTCCGTGAGTTTTGATGGGCGGCCCTCTCTTGGCAGGTTTGTTGTGGTGCCATATTCTTTCCATTTTTTAATAATGGATTTAATGGTGCTCCGTGGGATGTTCAAAGTTTCAGATATATTTTTATAACCCAACCCTGATCTGTACTTCTCCACAACTTTGTCCCTGACCTGTTTGGAGAGCTCCTTGTCTTCATGGTGCCGCTTGCTTGGTGGTGCCCCTTGCTTAGTGGTGTTGCAGACTCTTGGGCCTTTCAGAACAGGTATATATTTACTGAGATCATGTGACAGATCATGTGACACTTAGATTGCACACAGGTAACTAATTATGTGACTTCTGAAGGTAATTGGTTGCATCAGATCTTATTTAGGGGCTTCATAGCAAAGAGGGTGAATACATATGCACGCACCACTTTTCCGTTATTTATTTGTTCAAATTTTTTTTAACAAGTTACTTTTTTTCATTTCACTTCACCAATTTGAACTATTTTGTGTATGTTCATTACATGAAATCCAAATAAAAATCCATTTAAATTACAGGTTGTAATGGAACAAAATAGGAAAAAAACGCCAAGGGGGATGAATACTTTTACAAGGCATTGTAGAGTTCACAGTTTGAGATGCCTCATTGTGATTGGTTATTCCCCATACTTGCAACAACGTCAATGAGCGTCATCACTGTCTTTCCTTTGCGGTACCTCAAACTGTCATGTTTACCAGCTGAGATAAACTTTTATGAGTTGATTTTACTCCTGGCTCAGAGTTTGTCTGAGCAGTGTCTTAACTGAAAATGTACAATTTTCACCGCAAAACCTACTCTGAGCTGGGAGTTTTTTGTTGTTGTTGTTGGTATTAAAACAGGTTTTAACAGGATTCCTAGGACCCTTGCTGAGGTGCTTTGTGGGCCCAGATATCTGAGTGAGAGGAACAACCTCACCTGCTAATTTGTTTGAATTTCCCTGTAGACAAATTGACGGTGGCGCTATCAGAGATCCAGAGTGTTCTGAATGTTGTGCTGGAAAAACAGCAGGCGGAGAAAGATGATCTCACCAGGAAGTACAGGTCTGTAAACTAGACTGCTCTCTATTGCGTCACAACGTCTTGAGTGTCAAGTTCATCACGTTTTGTTTACACATACACACACACACACCCACAAAAACACACCCCACCCACACACACACACACACACACACTCCAGCATCCTGAGTGGGATGTTTTTCAAGCTCTGCTGTGTGACTCCGCTTATTGGTGAGTCAGTGACTAAAGAAAACAGTGGAGTGCATAGAATTAAAGAACAGAAAGGGTGACCTTTTTGTAGTGCAAAAGCATTGTGCAAAACTTAAACCTCATTATAAAAACCTCATTATGAAACCTCATTATAAAACTTAATTATGAAACCTCATTATAAAACCTCATTATAAAAACCTCATTATGAAACCGCATTGTAAAACCTCATTATATGTTGCGGCGTCACTACAGCCTGGGGTTCGATCCCAGGCTGTGTCACAACCAGCTGTGACCGGGAGTCCCATAGGGCGGCGCACAATTGGTGTTGTCCGGGTTAGGGGAGGGTTTGGCCGGGGGGGGGGGGGGGGGGGGGGCTTTACTTGGCTCATCGCGCTCTAGCGACTCCTTGTGGCGGGCCGGGCGTCTGCAGGCTGACTGCGATCGTCAGTTGAACAGTGTTTCCTCCGACACATTGGTGCAGCTGGCTTCCCGGTTAAGAGAGCTGGTGTTAAGAAGCGCGACTTGGCGGGTCATGTTTCGGAGGACGCATGACTCGACCTTCGCCTCTCCCGAGCCCATTGGGGAGTTGCCGAATACACTAATTTGAATGGGTGTCCACATACTCTTGTATATATAGTGTATCTCTATGGGGGTCAACATGATTTAGGGCCACTGTACAGTACATTTGTATTATTTTATTTTACTTCTGATCTTCTTTTCTCAAAACTTTTTTGTTGTTGTTGTTTTATTTTACTTTTATTATAAAAAAATAAATGCATTGTTGCTTAAGGGCTGTAAGTAAGCATTTCACGGTAATGTCTACACCTGTTGTATTCGGCGCATGTGGCAAATTTGATTTGATTTGATTTGATGAGTTACACTGGGAAGGGTTGAGTGTCCTGGGTGTGTCTCGTGGGGGTATATACATTCCTAAAATACTTTGTTGTATGGATAATAAAGTTATTCTTCTTCTCCTGCAGGATAGCGTCAGACTCGTTCCGGCAGGGTGTGCTGCGTGGTCAGCTGACCTCGTTGGCGTCGCGTCAGAAGAAGCTGCTGGGTATCCTCCAGAAGCAAAGCGACTTCAAGCTCCAGCTCCGCACCCGGAGGGGCCCGACCCTGACTCAGCTCCCCAGGACACAGCACTCCCAGGCGGGGAGAGATCAGAACGTCTCCCCCTCATCAACCACCACCTCCAGCCCTGCTCCCTCAGAGAGGAGACTCGCAGGCAGCCAGGAGGGGAGCCCCACTTCCCCCTTGTTCAGCTCTACTGGTAATCACGACAACAGAGACAAACAACAAGGTAGTAGCCAGACATCTCAGGTAGCGCCGCCTCCAGCACAACCTCCAACACTCCTTTGGACCGCCACCACGACTACCCCTCAGCACACCACCAGGTATTTCCTGGTACCAATGCCCACAGCTCCTCCCTCATTGTCTCTGGCTCCACCCACCAGCACCAATCAGATCAGTAAGGACATTCCAACACAACACCGGGATGACAAAAACAACACTACCTTTCCATCACAACAAGGAAACAGAAACAGCGAACCACAACAGGGAAACACCCTTGACATGGGAAGCAAGGTGTCACAACAAGGAAACGGAAACGATGATGGAGAAGAGAACAGGAAGTTGATCAGGCTCATCAAGATAGGCATCATCACACCAGGAGAGGATGTTCTACAGCTGATGTGGAGGGTGAGGCAGGGCAATTCTATTTCAATTTAATCAATTCAGGAAGGTATTTTAGATTCACGTTTTCCTCATTGCTTTCGATGAGGAATGTCATATACAGTATATATTTCGATAGAAAAGGTCATTTTAAACGTTCATATAAAATCATATATTTCCTAATATTTCAATGGAAAGGTTTAAATGATATGGCTGTATCTGTTCTCTTCCAGGGCTGTGTCCACCAGGCGTCTCTGCTCCCAGAAGGGTGGATCAGAGACGGGGTCACAGGCAGAGTGTTCCAGGCCCCAGAGCTCTGGGTAGCAGCTATCCTGGGAAACAACATCCCTGTCTCCTCAGCCTATGCCTGGGACAAGGTCAACACTACACTACAGTCTTCCTAAGTCCTCTATTAGGAAATACACTAAAACGCACATAGTGCTACACAAAGAGTACAAACACATAGATAATTTAATGTGACAAATCTTATAATATTTTGGACTGTATTCCTTGACTGCATACCTTGCTGAAAATAATTTTCAGGCAGCCAAAGGTTAGCTCTCTTTCTCCCCACCTAAAAGTGTTTGTTGCTTTGGGGACCTTTGCCCCCATGTCTGGAAAATAATCTAGGAAAGACTGTGCTGTCCTGAGCCCAAACTGGTAGAGAAGTTTGCCCCAGTGCTTGAAATGGATTGAAATAGGTGTCGGTACACATTTGTGGTGTTAACCCACTGTCGAACATAGCAAAAAGCATCACATGCTGGAGAACTGGTACACTGTTTTGTTACTAAAGTTAGTTTGTGAGTTAAAGGGATATTTCACCCTTTATACATTTGGAAACACTATCCAGAGGCGATACAGTGGAAAATAGCCCAAAATGTTCACTGTTTGAAAAAAGCAAACAGCATCATCACATCCTGTAAAACTGGTTTTGTTGGTTAAGTCAATGAAAGGTGTGGGGCTTGTTAAAGTGATCAATGACTGACTGGTTGCATTAGGACCCTCTTTAGAATACTCAAACTCTTAACCTAGAATAGTAAAGCTCTTAACCTAGAATAGTAAAGCTCTTAACCTAGAATAGTAAAGCTCTTAACCGAGAATAGTAAAGCTCTTAACCGAGAATAGTAAAGCTCTTAACCGAGAATAGTAAAGCTCTTAACCTAGAATAGTAAAGCTCTTAACCGAGAATAGTAAAGCTCTTAACCGAGAATAGTAAAGCTCTTAACCGAGAATAGTAAAGCTCTTAACCTAGAATAGTCCAACTCTTAATCTAGAATAGTGACGTTTCTTTTCATAAGTGATGTATTTGGAGTTGGAAACATCACATTTTTGAAAATACCTCAAGAGCCTATCCCTTTTGGAAAAGGAGCAAAACTCTTTATTTCTATTTCCAAGAGAAAAATATCAAGTCAACTCATTCCTAATGATCTGGCTGAGTTTCAGTTTGTTCTGTGCTTGTTCGATTGGTGTAAATATTTACCTTACGGTACAGATCCAGTTTTACTCAAGTAAATTGGATTATCTCGATCTCTTTGAACAGGTGTGATCATATCAAAACCCTCTCTCTTACATAAGAACAAAAACACACACACACAAAAACAGTTGCCAGGACGATTGACGTCGGAATATCATCTTCCTAGCAATGTTTAATAAACTGTAGAACTGTCATGGTCAACATGCTGAATCTGATCTGAATCTAGGGCTTCTCTGATGTCGTGGGCTTGTTGGTGCATTTTGGACCATAAAGCTGAATGCTGTCTTGGCCGAGGTTGTATGCTGCTCTGTGATACATTGAAAGAGGATTGCTCATTTATAATGGATTTATAAAGGGTTCATAGGATAGACATAACCATCTAGAGATTTATAGTCACTTTATTATTGATTTCAGGGGTGGGGGGACAGCTAGATGATAGCTAGAGCACGGCTAGAGGACAGCTAGAGCACAGCTAGAGGACAGCTAGGGGACAGCTAGGGGACAGCTAGAGGACAGCTAGGGGACAGCTAGGGGACAGCTAGAGGACAGCTAGAGGACAGCTAGGGGACAGCTAGAGGACAGCTAGGGGACAGCTAGAGGACAGCTAGGGGACAGCTAGAGGACATCTAGGGGACAGCTAGATGACAGCTAGAGGACGTCTAGGGGACAGCTAGAGGACAGCTAGAGGACATCTAGGGGACAGCTAGAGGACAGCTAGAGGACATCTAGGGGACAGCTAGAGGACAGCTTGGGGACAGCTAGAGGACATCTAGAGCAGTGGTTCCCAACCTTTTTTCCTTGGAGCCCCCCCTACTTGTATCTAAGAAAACTTTTTGTATCCGTTCTCGTGGAAATATTTATTTGACACAGAATCGGCTTGAAGGTCAAATCAAATCAAATTTTATTGGTCACATGCGCCGAATACAACAGGTGCAGACATTACAGTGAAATGCTTACTTACAGCCCTTAACCAACAGTGCATTTATTTTAAACAAAAAAAGTAAGAATAAAACAACAACAAAAAAAGTGTTGAGAAAAAAAGAGCAGAAGTAAAATAAAGTGACAGTAGGGAGGCTATATATACAGGGGGGGTACCGTTGCAGAGTCAATGTGCGGGGCACCGGCTAGTTGAGGTAGTTGAGGTAATATGTACATGTGGGTAGAGTTAAAGTGACTATGCATAAATACTTAACAGAGTAGCAGCAGCGTAAAAAGGATGGGGTGGGGGGGCAGTGCAAATAGTCCGGGTAGCCATGATTAGCTGTTCAGGAGTCTTATGGCTTGGGGGTAGAAGCTGTTGAGAAGTCTTTTGGACCTAGACTTGGCACTCCGGTACCGCTTGCCGTGCGGTAGCAGAGAGAACAGTCTATGACTAGGGTGGCTGGAGTCTTTGACAATTTTGAGGGCCTTCCTCTGACACCGCCTGGTATAGAGGTCCTGGATGGCAGGAAGCTTTGCCCCAGTGATGTACTGGGCCGTACGCACTACCCTCTGTAGTGCCTTGCGGTCGGAGGCCAAGCAGTTGCCATACCAGGCGGTGATGCAACCAGTCAGGATGCTCTCGATGGTGCAGCTGTATAATTTTTTGAGGATCTGAGGACCCATGCCAAATCTTTTTAGTCTCCTGAGGGGGAATAGGCTTTGTCGTGCCCTCTTCACGACTGTCTTGGTGTGTTTGGACCATGAGCAAGCTCATCTTCACAGCCGAGGTATTCCACGTCCTTGAGACTGCAAATGTAATGGTCCATCACCCACGATTCCTTGATAAGTATTCGTCAACATCGGCAAAACTGGATTTAATTTCCTCCCGAAGCATGTTCATGTGCCGGGTAAACTCAGTTTGTTGTTGTGGCTAGATTGGTAGACATAAGAATGTCTTGTTTCAAGTCATCACCGTCAATATATTGCACATAAACGATGAGCACGGATTTGTCTGACACTGTTGTTGTTTCATCCAACTGAATGGCAAACGGGAACAAGCTTTTCGTGCAGCTGGTTTTGACAATCTCCAGCCATTTTATCAATTCTGTCTTTGACAGTGTTGTCAGAGAGTGGGACGGTTCTCACTTTATCCACCACCTGTGGGACACACAGCCTCTCTACAATTTTCAGGCAGGCGGGTTTGATTAGCTGCTCTCCAATATTGTGCAGCTTTTTAGCCTTGGCAATTATTAGCGAACACTCAAATGACGCCTCCGTGGCTCTGTGTAAATCACTGCCTACTCTTTCAAATGCTTTTCTGATGTCTGTGGATCTTTTTGATAGTGCCAACTGCTTCTTCCTCTCAGAAAAATCCTGACCTTCACCAATAGTCTCCTGGTGTTTTGTTTCCTGGTGTCGTTGCATTTTTGCTTGGCTTCATGCTGTCATTAGCTAGCTTCTCGCCACAAATGACACATTCTGGCCGAGTCCTGTCCTGTCCTGTCCTTCAATAAAACCGAAGTAAAGATAACTCTCGAGATATAGCCTTACTTTATTTTTTGATGATGAGTCGTCCGCACTTTTAGGTTTCTTAGACATGTTGTTTTATTCATAAAATAGTGATGCTCTGACTGCAGGTAAAACGAGCCGCTAGCTGAAACTGATTGAGCGCGGGTCATTGACGTGCACAATTTTTTTTCCGGGAATTACCGCTTTTACGTTTGTCTACCATTATTAGTATTTTTTAGATTGGCCTTGGCATCCTCCCGAGTGGCGCAGTGGTCTAAGGATCGCAGTGCTAGCTGTTCCACTAGAGATCCTGGTTCGAATCCAGGCTCTGTCGTAGCCGGCTGCGTCCGGGAGACCCATGGGGCGAACGCACAATTGGCCCAGCGTCGTCCAGGGTAGGGGAGGGAATGGCCGGCAGGGATGTAGCTCAGTTGGTAGAGCATGGCGTTTGCAACGCCAGGGTTGTGGGTTCGATTCCCACGGGGGGCCAATATGAAAAATTAAAAAAAGAATGTATGCACTTACTAACTGTAAGTCGCTCTGGATAAGAGCATCTGCTAAATGACAAAAAAAATTTAAAAACTCAAAGCAAATGAGATCACACCCCCCCCCGGTGAACTCTGGGACCCCAGGTTGGGAACCACTGATCTAGAGGACAGCTAGGGTCTAAGAAGATACACCCACCACTTTGCACTCCTCATTCGTTAATAAAATTAAAAATTAAAACAATAGCTAAACAGGGAGAGCAAAAACACTTACATACACACCTACACACAAACTCTTACACACACACACACGTTGGGCCTGCTGTGAGGCTGCAGAGGGTAAAGGCACGGATACGTTTACAATAGCTATGTAATGGTTATGGAAGATGGAAGGGCTTTATCCTGGATGGATGGATGGTCATAGATTAGATAGTGTTAAGGGGGGGGGTCTACTGTCAATCATTGGTTCAGGTAACCCACAGCAGCCTCTCTCTACATATATAATGCAATGGTTTACATCTATAAAACATTAATCCATTGTTGTTGCCTCCATTGGTTGTAGATTGATTTTGTCCCCCTGCTGTCTTGTCAGTGTGCCATGGTCACAGTGGCCTGGCTATATGCCACATTAAATGTGGTGGGAGCACGTACACACACACACACACACACACACACACACACACACACACACATAACGTATACACACACACACACACACACACACACACATACTCACATACACATACATACAATACAAGATTAGAAAAAATAATATTATCTCCTAAATAGCATTACAGAGTATCTAATTCTTGGAATGGTTTGGAAACCCTTGTTGTTTTGACAGGTGACGTATAGACACAGGTCTCTGTCTGGTTACTTACTGGGTCTAGTGGACATGACGGCCCCAGCAGCAGCATCACAGAAGCCTGCCGAATCCACACACCACGATGGCTCCTCTGCTCAGCCTCAGGACGTCCCAGCTGCAGGGGCACCTCTCTCAGGTCCGTCCGTTGAT